TAACGTGCTGCTAAAAGATCTAGCACTCGTTGATCAAGCTCTTCTTTTAGCATCTCACGAACTTGTGGCCGCCCAAAAGTTTCGGCAAATTCCTTAAATGAATGCTTGAAAGCGTCCAGACTCTCAGCAAGGTAAGATTCTGCAGATAGAGGACGGTCATTATATTGAACCTTGAACTCATAAGTTGCTTCTTCAAGCTCTTGGTGGATGGCATCGCTAGTAGTTTGAAGACTCGCCGCCATGGTTTGTTCGAGTACATGCATGAGCTTCTTACGGAGAGTGGTAGTGCCAACATTTAGTCCAGCATCAGGTCCATACTCTATAGGGTGAGATGAAAAGAATGCGTGCTCATTCTTGATGATGGCTTCCGAGATGCTTCCATTTCCTGCTTTGAACAATGATCTAGTTTGTGATTGTTGTGGTGCTCGTGACACAACACCAACATAACCGAGTCTTAAGGGGTATTTTCGATCATTGAGGATGGAGACTCCTCTGGCAGGATCGACAAGGTCCATCTTTGTGATGACACCAATAGTACGTTCACCTCGTGGATCAACTCTTCGACTTGCTCGCAAAGCAGTTGAGTTGGCTAAATCCACGTCTGCAGCAGAAATAGCAAGAATGACATTGGGAGGCTGAATGTACTTGTCGCACAAATCGGCTATTTTCTGCTTCAATTGCGCGGGTTGATCTTCACCAACAACCTGAATATATCCAGGAAGATCGATGAGGGATAGATCAGGGACATGGGGTGACGAGATGGTCAACTGAATTGGGTCATCGGAAACACATTCTGTGTCAGGAACGGCCAAATTCAATTCCGTCAATGTCCTTTGGATATGTGAGAAGTCGGTAATCTTTCCTAGACCAAGAGCAGGAAATTCTCCATATTCCGCCTGTGAATCAGGGGTGTTGACGAGGGTCAACTCTATGGGTCGCCGTGTGACCATATTTGAACCCTTGGGTAAGAATTCGTGTCCTACGATTGCTTCTAGCACAGAGCTTTTCCCCGATGATTGTGAACCAATAACCACAATTGATGGTAAAGTAAGAGCGTTTGACTGTCCCACAGTCTGCAATATCGTTCTGATCTCAATCATTTTTTTGGTCAAAACCATCATTTGGTCATCTCGGGCAGCAACTGCTGGAGATCTATCGTCTTCTGAATATTGATCATATCCGTAGGCGGCAGCACTTCCTGCTGCAGCTGCAGCTCCCATTCTACTTTGTTTAGGTGGTTCCCCGCCAGGGCCCCCACCCCCACCTCCACCATTTCCTTCCCCAATCTCTTCATGAATTCGTAATACCTTTTGCATCCACTCAGGCAACTCAACGGATTCCTTTGTTTTCTCCCACCCTGATCGTGTTTGACTTGCAATATCTTTTGCACTGCCGAACAAACCGCCTGCTACTCCAGACACAGTATTCGTTGTTGAGTTGAAGATGTCTGCAACATAATTACCAGCCTCTGCAGATGTCCAAAGTTAGCACGCTTTTAACAGGAGGAGCGGATAAACTAACGGGTAGCCTGGTATTGAATATATGCTAAACCACCAACAGTCACTCCAGCGAAAAGAGCAGGTATTCTCGCAAACTTTAACAATATGTTTGGTAGGATGCGAACAAATGAAGCATTTCGAACGACTACAGCATTCGAGAATGGTGTATGTCCTGCTGGCCATAATCTTCCTCTTGCAATACGAACGGCAGACTCTGATCTGAGTAGACCACCGGCGGTAGATACCGCCTTATGATGGAAATGTCTGGCAGATTGTGAGTTGATACGTTGAGCCGCGGGCAGAAGCCTCGCCGATAGCAGCCTCCCACTCATACTGGGCAAACTTAAGATTGTATCAATCCTTTAGGAAAATGTAAAATCATGAGGCAATAAATTTCATTCTGCTGGTTTTGTTGTCCACTTGGTATATGGGTGTTTGAATTCCACATGTTCTTGCATGAATAAAGGTCGAATCAGAAGTGGCGTGCAATGTCTGTGGCTGGTGAGTTTTGATTGTGGCTTGATAACGAACTTCAATTTTGGCGGGCGGCTGAGAGAGAATGGATGAGATCAAAGGAAACCCCCATAATGTCCAGCCTTGAGGGGTTATCAGACGATAACAACTCCACAACAATTATAATATTTTGTTTGCTAAATTTCCTGTATATCCTCAATTCCTAGTTGTACATACTCTTGGATCTACAAATCATCAATGAAACTACTGCCGAGATTGGAATTTCTCAACTTGCTTCTTTTATTCGTTGGGCTTGGATCTTAATTTATGTCTCAGCACCCAACAGATTACGCCATACCGTTATTTCCCCTTCAGCCTCGCGATTGCTCCCTTGAGTGCGAGCAAACAACTCCCAACGCTCCTTGACTTGTTAGCAACAGATATTACACGGCCATATCCCATTTGTATTCATTGAATTTTCGGAGAGTTGCCCCCAAAGTATCGAAGTCTCAAGAACCTAAACCTCGACGAAAGACAAGATGTGTCGCTTTCTGGTGAGCCAAACAACTCCAACTCTTGGATAGCAGCAGAATACTCATGATAGCAAGGTATATAAAGGCTCAGATGCCATCTTGCTTTCTAAAATCATTTTGGAACCCACCCACTCAATTCTTAATCAGTCTTTCGACTCTCGCCTTCGTTTGGACATGAGAAGACCTCACAATGGTTAGTAGTTTCTGATCTTCGTGGTTCGTGAACACGGTGACTCATGATGTTTGCAGGCGATGGATTTGGTATTGGTTATTACACAGAACCTGAACTTGGACCTGAGCCATGTATCTTCACATCTACTATTCCTGCGTGGAACTGCATCAACCTTCAACGAATTGCTTCAAAGACCGCTTCACCACTTATATTTGCTCACGTACGAGCTACGACCGAAGGTTCCCTCAGCGATGATAATTGCCACCCTTTCTCCCACGGGAGTCTGATGTGGATGCATAATGGTGGATTGGGTGGTTGGAAACACATCAAAAGACGCCTGGGTGAAAGACTCGCCGACAAATGGTATCTTGGAGTTCACGGAGGAACCGACAGTGAATGGGCATTCGCATTATACCTGGACACACTCGAGAGAATGGGTCATAACCCAAGTGCTCCACCAGCCGAGGGATTTGGTCCAACTGTTTTAAGGCATGCAATGCTAGCTACCATCAAACAGATCAACGATTTCATTGCCGCAATCCCAGAAAAGACAATCGAGGAAGAAAATTTGGATATTCGAAGCTTGTTGAATTTTGCAATAACAGACGGACATAGTATTGTCTGTACTCGTTATGTCAGTAGCAAAACCGATGAGGCAGCTAGTCTGTACTACTCTTCCGGCACTACATGGGAGGACAAAAGTAACAAGGGCGAATATCAAATGGATCGTCGTGATAAGGGTGCTGATATCGTCCTCGTTGCAAGTGAGCCGTTGACATTCGAAAGAGGTAAACATTATCCCTTATTTCCTACTTCTGTATCCCGTGCCCCACTACTTCATCTTGCCAAGGGCAAAGATGAAAAGCGGCAGTTATTGCCACAACCGAGTTCTACCTAGGTATTGAGTGAAGACTTTTGTCCCGTGAAGATCACCCAAACGAGGAATTAGAATTGGAAAATCGTCTTTATGTTGCACATCAGCAGATAGACGAAGATCAGGCGAGGATTGAAGCTCGACTATTTCGTGTGGTGGCTAGTGATTTATTTTTCAAATTTCTTCAGGGGCTCACGTCAAAATCCTGCATTTTCATTTACTCGCTTGTCTGGTGGCACTATTGCTGCAGCCATGTGGAGTAGACATTTCTAATACATTTACAGAAAGCTGGGTGACGGTTCCAACCAACTCCACTTTGACAATTCACAAGCAAACTGTTATGGTACATCCAATTATCGACGAGTATTATAACCACAACCCATATCATTCGCGATCCTCTCAATTCGTTACTGATAAGGGTCTCGTCACCAATGAAAAATCAACGCCAGCTCCTACACCAGCTCCTACTGGGTCTACACTATTACATCAGTCACTTGCCAGAACAATCAACCCATCATCAGCCATGTTATCACCAAGAGAAAATTATGATCCCAATACGGTAAATAACGCATCACACACCTCAGCAATCTCAGATATTAGACATGCCACACCCGCAGCATCTCGTCCCTCGATTCCTTCCAACAAGTCTGGAGAACAAGGCAACACCAAAAAGAAGCGAGCTGCGGCTCCTGCTCCTGCAATCGTACAAATACCAGCTAACACAATGAATGCTGGTGCATCAAATGGAATATCAGGAGTCGATTACATAGATACGCCTGATACGCCAGAGCTGACCAAAAATTCCGATAGCAGAAATAAAATCGCGCAGTATTTCCCAGAGCTGGATAGTATTGATCGAAATTGAGCCAAAGGCTAGTTAAATCAATAGTCTCAATTGGGTTGCTTTTTAGGACAGGCAGAGCGAGGTAGTGCTATTTGGGCTGGCGTCAAAATTAGAATGGGGAGTGCATCGGTTGCATATAGAGAAGGGCGTTTAGTGCGTGATGTAGGATTCCCCTTTAGTAATTGCAATTTTACATTGGTTTTGCAGATCGTTTCTGTTCTTTAAGTTGTGTCATCTTTGTCGTATGTATCTTTTTCTAGAATGAATATTTGTGAATACCCTCAAACTTTCGAACTCTTGAATGTGTTAAGTGAATATCCAGCATTGGGGATCCCAATGATAAATAAAGGCTTCAAATATGTTAGGAAAAGTTCTCCTACTTCAAAGATCCATTCATTCAATAATCAAGTCACTCCATCCTTAGAACTTCACAAGTACTCCTAAACAGATAATCACAAACTAAAGTCACAACACAAAAACGATTCCTCACATTCCTCAAAACAAAGACGCGCTTGTATAATTCCTACAATTCTAACAACTAAAACCCATGCCATAAAAGTAATCACCCACGCTGATCAATACACTCAATATCCAGCTCCAGCTCCAAAGACCCCGACCCAGAAGCTCAGTAATAATTAGACCAACCACTTTCATCATCGCTATCCTCGCCATAATAATCATCCGATTCCAACGATTGCTGCGGCGTCAAATCTCGCTCGTTCACACTCCAATCAATCATTTCTACCGATAATCCCTTGTGTAAATTGAAATCTCCGCATTCGTATTCTCCCAATCCGTCGTAATCGAAGAGCGCCTTTCGTGCCGTCAAGATTTCGAGATATTGTTGATCGCACATATCGACCGCCGTGCTGAACTTTGTGATGAAGTGGCGGATTTTGCCGACTTGGTGGTCTGTCATTAAGTGCTTGATCAGACGATCGCGTGGTAGGTTTTTGTAGTGGCTGTTGTAGAGATGATGTTGGGATTGAATCTGGGCTTCTATCGCAGAGGTTGAATGTCTTTTGAAAGCTTTGGCGTAGCGCTTGAGGTATACTAAAGCGAGGCAGATCTTTTGTTGCCTGTTTGGATCTCGCATTTCCCATGTATTGTTTGAGAATCCTAATTGTTCATTCCTTCTCTCGACAGCATCGAATATGCCGCCGGGAACTTTCTCTGTCTTTATAAATGTCGTTAGTTCATGATTTGCATTCATGATTTGATTCCATTGTCGCTCGAGGTGCGTAAGGGCGTGCTTGCGATGTTCTTTGAATGTCCATTCGTCTTCGCCTGAATTCATGACAGCGTCTTGACAGTTGCGAAGTTCGAATTCAAGTGGATGAAGGGTTGGCTCGATAAAAGGATTGAAAGAACCTGTATCGAGGAACTCAGCGTACTCAAGGCACCTAGGATCAATCCGTGTGATATCCTCTCGTCTTACGCCCATTTGCATTTTGTAGGGTTGATACCGCTCAAAGGTTCGCGCGTAAGCCACGAGGTTCTTATGCATCATGTGTTGGATATCAAGGGGTTGTTGACCAGTTGTAAGTGTTTCTATCTCCGTCTTCAAGTCCGTCGGAAGTTCCCAGTCTGCTAGAGCTTCATCTCCCTCTCTAAATTTCTTCACTAACCCATCATCAGCGAGTTGAATGACATCAGGAACATCGGTTGCGCAAGCTTCTTTGATTGCACATGTCTGGATATTGCGGAGGATTTTCAAAGGCTTCAAGATCTGCTCGTAGCTGTCGAAAGAATAATGGTTGTCCCGACCATAGTCCAAGCCGCAAGGCAGAATCAGGAGTTCCAACGATATCGGAGGATCTTGAGAGATGACTTCGCAAAAGTCACGTAAACTCCAAATTGGGTCCCAACTGCCACCAGAAGATGTGAGTCTACTAACTACCACCCGCCACTTGCGAACTCTCGACACAGTAGAGCAATTACCAAGACTTGGAATTGGAAATGGCATTTTGCTTTGGTTGTTCTGGTATCTCATAAGAGGGCATAGTTCCACCAGAGGTCCTTCAACATACTGTACGGCCGTTGGATTTTCATCATCACTTTCTGCACCCATATCCATAGAAAGGTGATTATCAACCCGAAAGCATGCGATGTAGAAGGTATTTTCTTTGTACAGAATATCCAAGGCCTCGACGTAAATTTGATGGCAGACCCTCAATAACTGTGGGGATAAGTCGTACATTGTATCAGCTCCATAGCTCGCACTTCTGGATACAGAATCTGCAGTGCCCAGAATCTTTTTGACTAGTAGTTCTTTGTAGATCTGAGTCCTGATTTCTAGAGGAACCTTATCTAAGAAGAGACAAACGCTGTTGGAGGCCATATTTAGGATTTTGAATGGTGGGTATTATTGAAAGAATGGATCGAAGTATGATTGGAAAATGATTGTCGAATAAAGTTGTTGTAGTAATATGAGAGAAGTTGCGAGAAGAAGAGAATTAATGTTTGTCGTTCTGTAGCTTGCCACCATTTCGGGAAGCAGCTCTGTTGGTGGAAAATAATGGTAAGAGGTTATGCAGAAAGGAAGAAATATATTCTCACCTTCGTCTTACAATATTCTCTCTACGGTGTCTATATATAGGTATCATTGTATTCCAATTTGATATCAATGGTAAAGTGAATCAAAACCATATTTCGAATGATTGTTGGTGAGGATAGATGGAGTTTATCGAGTGTCTCTGCAAAAAGCTCGTTTGAAATCTTCAACCAATCCCAAGAGATTCAATTCACCCGAGATTAAACTCATTCAGACATTAAGATTGTGTAGAATCTCCAAAAGAATTTACGACTTCTACTTATCTTCATCAGGGAGACTTCAATCAACCGAAAAATTGAACTCCCTGGTAAGATTGGAATAGTCTGAAATCTTCAACTTCCCTTTTGCACATGTCCGTGAATCTAGAAGTTTTGCGTAATCTTACAGATTCAGCTCACTTGGAAGATTAGATTCATTTCAAAGATGCATCCACCAAGGACTTTGTGTCTCTTTAAAAGACTGGAAAAATTATGTACCGGGAAATTGGTTGATGTTGAATGCTAATAAAAGGGGCTGCATTCATCAAATTGGAGCACAACTGACATCCCATAGATCATGTAGCTGCCCTGGTAAAGGTGTATTTGCCCGGCCTGTTTTCACGCTTTGCTTGCGTTTATTGAATGTTTGAAAGATCCAATGTAACCTTAATTCACTTGCATCGTGCAAGTTGCATGGTAACTTGTCATCTGAAATATACGCAATATGCAAGCTCCAGTGGGCAAGTTTTCATGAAATTGACTTAACATCACAGCTGTATAGCCATCCATTTCATATTCAACTATTGAAGGGAGGATGAAATGGACGCGAGCACAACCTAGACAAAACATTTCAACTTCCATCCCAAGGCTCGCCGATGATATTACTCTTCTGGCTTTGAAACGGTGCAACATCAACTTTCTTTGGCGTCATCATAACTCCCTGCAACCATTCAACATATGCAGGAAAACCAGTTACGCTCCCATAAATCCTTACTCTCTTCACTCCTCGCACACCCTCAAAGAGTCTCAGAACCTTATAATCTGAACCCCTAAACGTAGATTGTTCAACCCTTATTGTCAATTCATCCACCTCGCTAAAAGCTTCTTCTGCTTTCTTTGCAGAGAAATTCGGATCGCAATCCAGTCGAACAATTATATAGTATTTCTTGATATTAGATATCAATCTGGAGGAGCTGATAGTATTATATTTCCAACGCAAGCGCGGTAGTCCCGTAAGAAGATTGGGATGTGCTATGAAGACATTGCTACCGTAGAGGATTTGTTCGGCTTCATCATGGACTCTTCGACAGACGGATAGAATTTGTGGATATATATGTGGATCACTTCCTAGACGACGGGGTATTGATATGGATGGGATGATGAGGAGTAATTGGTAGATGTGGTTACGAATTTCTCCTGGGAGGTCAAGGAATGTGAGGGGCGTCATGGTTTGCGAAGCACTTCTTCTATTGTTGAAATCGCAACCTCGATGTACTGTTGTGAGTTTATATGGGGATGTATGAAAAGGTAGAGATGTTCGTTGAAATGTTTTCGTTGAAGTCTCTTCGAACAATCAACGATGTTTACGAGGTGAAGTGTTTTGTGAAGTGATACACGGATAAAGGGATGGGATCGCATCAATCTGATAAGATATCAAATTTGAGCACTGACTTTTGCGATAAGATCAAGATAAAATCTCGCGCTACAACCGGGAGCCGGGATTAAACTGAATCATTCAATGTTACTCTAAATTTAGTACGTGCTCACACGTGATGGTCTACTTGGATGAGACCTTGATCATGTTGACTCTTCACTTACAGATTACTTTGACATCGATACCCTCATTTACAAATTGTCGCCATTCATGACATATTCTTCATAATGACCACTGCATTCCTTCAGTTTCTTTCCTATTTGTTCGGTTGGATATACACAACATGTTGGTCGCTATCTTTTTATCCCCAACCAATCTTGAACTTTAGGCGCAAATCTACTTCAGGAGCCGCAATCGATTTCCCGTTCCTCAACGTGCTAGGCTTTGCTGCATACTTTGTATCTACAGTCTCATTCCTTTATGCGCCAGAAATCAGACGTGAATATGCTTTGCGAAATAATGGGCATACCCCGACTGTTCAATTCAATGATCTCGCTTTCGCTGTTCACGCCCTCTTCATGTGCTTTGTCATAATATCACAATATGAACCATCGATTTGGGGATTCGATAAACGAGGTAAAAGGGGCCCCGGCGCAAGAGTTAGCAAATCTATCATGGGTTTGTCGGTAGCATGTATTGTTGGAGTCGCGACTTCGGTGGTTGTTGTCATTGCGCGACAGGATGAAGATGTTGTAAGAGGGTGGGCATGGATCGATGTGGTAAGTTGAGGTCAAGCTGCGTCATTTGGTTACACTTGTGCTAACATCACTTCTCACAGGTTTATGTCGTATCATATGTCAAACTAGTTATCACGACTGTTAAATATATGCCTCAAGTTCTTACGAATTATCGCAACCGATCCACCACTGGTTGGTCAATAGGGGGGATACTACTGGATTTCGCAGGTGGAGTCCTATCCATTTTACAATTAGGGATTGATAGTTATCTACAGGGAGATTGGTCGGGAGTAACGGGCAATCCAGTCAAACTCATGTTGGGCAATGTGAGCATCTTCTTCGATGTCATTTTCATTGTTCAGCATTACATTCTGTACAAAGGTAATGGAGGTGATACACCATTGGATGAAGAAGATCCTTTACTCGCGCCGGATAGGGAGCAGAGAATTGAATAGAGAGAGACGAAGAGACAGGGAGCAGAGGATTGATTAGAGAGAGATGAAGAGATAGCGAGCATTTCTCTATGGCGTTATAGATACCCAGCGGTTGGATTATGAATAGAGGCGGACAATTAGTTATTGGATTTCGATGTAAGATATTAGCGCTTATCTAGGTAATTACAAATATATCATCTTGAGGAGTTGCAAGGTCAACAATTCTTATGCTCGCCCAAGTGGCTGGCATAACTTCATCATGATATGCAACCCAAATCAATTATCACATCGATTTGCTGTCGTGCACTGCTCAATGCTTAAAATAAGAGTTCCTAACAATGGTCATTTATTGAAGATGGAGTGGCCTTTGTTAGAAATGGAAATAGATATGGCACGGATATCTAGTACGGGACAGGACTATTAACGGATGTATGGACTGACGGGACAGGACCATTAACGGATGTATGGACTGACGGGACACAGCAAAAATGGACTTGTGAATATCTCTTGATGTTTTAAATCATCTATTTTAAAAATTGTTGTAATTGTTGATTAGAAATGAAACAATCGAAATGTGGACTTTAATATCAAACAGTTGAAGAATGAATTTGCTTAAATTATTGAAAGTTGGAAAGTGTTCTGTGAATCCATACACTCACCATGCCGCCTTCAAACCCCAAGAAGTGCAATGTAAGAAGGAAAACTCTCACCGGGTCTAAGCTTCCTATATATTCGAAAGATCCGGCCATCACTCAACAACAAACACAACACCAAGCGGCTTTAGCTCACTTGGGAGAGCGCCAGACTGAAGTTCACTTCGGTTCATTAATCTGGAGGCACTGTGTTCGATCCACAGAAGCCGCATTCTGCGAGTTGAGGACCACCTTGACTGACCCATCGTTTTTATTTTTGTTTGAATTTTTCTTCCTTTTTTTCCCCTCCGAATTTACTGTAACCATACGCTACGAATACGTTACGGAGCATGGCTGGCTACCTACGGTGAAAGAATTTCATGAATCAAACCTTATATTTTTAGTTGATTTGAGCCTTGCCTTGATCGGTTATTTATTAGTTCGTTCATGACAATCCACTAAGTTTTCACTAGAAGATTTCACTAGAAGACGCGAAGAGGGACTCAAAAGGGTAGATGGACACTCGACAGACATTAGTGGGAGCTGGAGGATAAGCGAAGAAGAAGAAGAAGAATTGAAACTTTGAAGCTTTGAAGCTTCGCAACTTTGAAAGTTAAATATTTTTGGGTGGGACAATTGGCTCATATCAACGAAACTAACGAATGAGAAGAAGTCGATACTCCATAAATAATGATTCGGATGGTATTCTAACAATCCGGTATAGGAGCGAATCGAGCCCATCGAGCCCACCGAGTCGGCCATCAAGTCGACTATCTACTGAGTACATACATCGTACCTCCAGCTACCTACCTCCGTAGGTATATCCAGTCACCACCCGTTTCCACTGTCCACCGAATACACAAAGTGGCGGGGTTAGAACTTTTCATCGAGTAGACAGATATATTAGGTAAGCAACGCAACGCAGATGATGGTTCGACGGTCAACAGTTGACCCAATCTTTCTTCCATATGCCGAAGATCTACCACAATATGAAATCATTTCCGACGGTTAGACTGTTGGACTAAAGCAAAAACCTTCGCGAACTAAGCCTAGCCAAGTAAAACCCCTGAATGCTTACCATCATCTTTTTCTCCCGTGCTTTCGTCCTAAGGTGAAAATATTACTTGAGAATTTCATTTTTTTGTGGCAACTGTTCGAAGGACAGGATGGTCCCCGATGTCTAGACTAGACGTAGGGATTTCTCTCACATTTCGACAACTATCTCGGTGATGGCGTGCTTCCATCAGGGATGGAGAATTTTTATTCAACAGGGAATAAAAGTGTCAAATTATCCAGACGCGTTGATGTCTCCCTCACTTTTTTCTCATTTCCATTACCATTACCTATTCTACAACATCTATCCATCCTTCTCATCCATTTTGAGAAGCGTCTATATCGTATTGGTGAATAGAGAATTGAATTCTTAGCTGCATTCAAAGTATCCACCATGTCGAACAAGACTTACACCTCACAAGAATTGGGTATCCACGGGACGCCGTCTCAAACTTCATTGGATAATCCGGGAAAACCAGATATCGCAAATGGAGAGGTAGTTCATTCGGCTTCAGGTCATCTGGATGCCGTTTATGGTGTCGGTGGGGTGGGACATACACAGAGAAGATTGAAGGCTAGACATGTTACCTTTATCGGTTTTGGTGGTGGTATTGGTACGGGTCTTTTCATCGGTACTGGTGCAGCTTTAGCAAATGCTGGTCCTTTGGGTTTGCTATTGTAAGTCAACGCCTAGTCGGTTCAGATGTTACAACGCTCGAATTGGTACTAACACAATTTCTAGGGCTTACAGTGTTGTCGGTCTTCTTCTTTGGTGTGTAATGGAGTCAATTGGTGAACTGGCCACTCTGGTACGTTTTCACAGGTCAATCACCTGACATTCACCAAACAAAAGCTCACAAGTCATAGTTCCCAACTGCTGGATCTTTCCCCCATTTTGCAACTCGATTCGTCGATCCTGCTCTTGGATTTACTCTCGCCATTTCCTACGGTTATTGCTACACCATTGCTATTGCTTCGGAAGTTTCAGCAGCCGCCATCGTAGTATCTTACTGGACAGACATCACACCCGCTCTCGTGATTTCTATAGGACTCGTCGCGATCTTCCTCATCAATATCGCTAACGTCAAGTTCTACGGTGAAGCAGAGGTCGTCACTGCTTCCATCAAAATTCTTTGTTTCTTAGGATTGATTATCGTCTCTATAGTTATCACAGCCGGAGGCGCACCCAATCACGAGTCCGTCGGATTTAGATATTGGAAAGATCCAGGTCCATTCGTTCCCTACGATGGAATCACCGGGAACAAAGGTAACTTCCTCGCATTCTTTAGTGCATTCATCAACGCCAGTTTCTCCTACATCGGTGTTGAAACCGTCGTTGTCGCCGCCGCGGAAACCGAAAACCCACACAAATCGATCCCCAAGGCCGTCAAGCGTGTCACCTATCGAATCCTGTTTTTCTATGTTCTCGGTACGCTTCTCATCGGAATGATCATTCCCTCCAACGATCCAGCTCTCGTAAGTGGTACCGGTAACGCCAATTCCTCGCCTTTCGTCATCGCGATCAAGAACGCCGGAATCTCCGTACTCCCATCTATTGTCAACGCATGTATCCTTACCTCCGCCTGGTCCGCCGGAAATAGTTACTGCTACATTGGTGCGCGTATGATCGTCGCCATGGCAGTTGATCGCCAAGCGCCTCAATGTTTCGCCAAGGTCAACAGATGGGGTGTACCATACTGGGCTGTCATCGTATCCTTCGCATTCGGTCCGCTAGCATATCTAAGTCTCGGTTCCGGAGGCGCAGCACAGGCATTTACTTGGCTTCTCAACCTCAGTACGGTTGCGGGTCTTCTTGCCTGGATGACTCTCTGCATTTGTTATATCCGTTACCATCACGCATGCATTGCTCAAGGAGTTGATCGTAATAACCTCCCTTTCAAAGGACGTTGCCAACCACTCGCCGCATATGTCGGTGCCATTGGCTCCGGAATCATTGTTATCTTCTCCGGTTTTGGTGTTTTCATCAAGGGCAACTGGAGCACGGCGGATTTCATAGCTAGTTATATCGGTATCGTCATCTACATTGCGCCCTATATTTTCTGGAAAATATTCAAGAGCACTAAGGTGTCGAGATCGAAGGACGTGGATTTGTTTTCCGGAAGATTCGATGCCAGTTCTGCGCCGGTAGAACCGATACCTACGACTGCGTGGGGCAAGTTCTTGGACTGGCTGTTGTAAGGTGATGAGGAAAGAGAAGAGAAAGGAAGAGTAGGAGGTGGAAACTATGATTTTTAATGACGCATTTTCAACAACATGATACCTAGCGTTTTAACAACACTTATACCCAGTCAATTTTACGTTTATATATTTTTTCCCATAGCCATAGGGCATCAGATTTTTGGAGTCATGATTTATTTGAGTGTGTGATGTGAAGTGAGGAGGCTTTTTATTGAGTTTGAGCTACCTGATTGATATTTCTAGATTTTGTACGATACTGTGCATTATGTTTCTTCGAGATGAAAATTCGACTCTTCAACATATGCCAATTTCCGTTATTCGCCAACTCTCGAGACGCGCGCATACTTCCGTCGAGGTGATATCTGGATGCGATCCGATACGGACAAAGTCCAGGTGCCGGATTTGAAGCACAGTTGGCGAAGCATGGCACCTTTGATAACAGCCACAAATTGATCGACAGCTTCATGCTCAAAACGAACACTTATAATCAACAGAAGGATGAGTGCAGCCTTGTCCCAAAGCCTCGCTACTCTTGTTCATAGTAGCATGTGTTTTCTTGTCCCAAAGCAACTGCGCATACCTCTCTTTCCATTCAGCAACTTCCTTTTTGGCAGACTCAGCTTCTCCCCGAACACGATCAAGGACGTTATGAGTACCGTGGAATTCATGCTCGACGTCCTCAAACATCATTTCGATAGCGTGGTTGTAATCTTCAAAGCGCTTCAACATCTCATATCTCTGTTTTCCAGTATACGCGCCACCAGCAGCCACAATTGCCTTGTCCATGTCTCGCCTGATGAGACTTGCGTCGTCGCGACGCTCCACCATATCCAGACGAAACGTGTTAAACCTCGGCTTGCACTCGTAACAGTTGTAATCGAAGGTTTTCACGTCGTGAGGATCGGCTGCGGGAGTGGAACATACAGGAGGGGGTGCACTTTTTTGATCCCATGCTGCCTCCCAGGCTAAATAGCTTTCGCATTTCTGCTTGCCGGAAATAAACTCGTGGCCGCAGAATGCGAGACTGTAGATGGAACGACACATGATCTCGATATGGTCTAGTGCTACTTGAGATGCGCTGATGAATTCTTCGAGATGAGATTCGAGGTCCTGTGCATCGCATTAGCTTTAATATTTTTCACTTCGCCTCCCCTCCATGACTGCAAATATAAATATTTACGCCTTGAGATCGAGATAGAATACATACCGTTGCTTTCTCAATTGAATAAACTCGGACTTGAAATCGCTACGCGATAGGTCGTCTCATGGAGCTGGAAATTTCGATATTGGCTACAATCTTGGACTCGGTAATCTAATCTAATTCAATCTATGAAACAATCAGTATACAACCATTCCCGAGACTCGCACTCATCTATATTGCGCACAAAAGAATACACTTACCGTTCTCGAGATCTCGAAAGCTTCTCGTGGGGAGATGAGATGAGTAAATGAGGAGAGAGGAGTGTGATTCAAACACTGGGGATTACCGCTATCGCTGTTTATTCTCGTATCGAGAAAAGACGAGAGGGATGAGTAGAGAATGTGTAGAGAGAAGATGAGGTGAGGTGAGGGATTAAGTTGAGAGTAGTAGGTACCTAGTTGGCGAAAATTCGATTTGGCGCTAGGGAATTTATTGGGAATATACTAGGGGAGGGGGAGGGGGAGGGGGAGGAAAGAGGAGGGTAAAGGTGAAGGTGAAAGTGAAAGTGAAAGTGAAAGTGAGGATGCAGAAATACATAGGTAGGTACGAAGGAAGACATGCTTGGTGAAATTCTAAGTGGGTGCTGGTTTGTGGATCTTCATATATGGATTCGTGGTCTATGACTTCATGTTGATTCGGGCAGCTCTTGGGTTATAGGAAATCTATCTGTATTGGTTAGTAGTACTAAGGAGTGATCGGAGATGGATATGTTTATAGTATCTACTGATATCCTTCTTATGTGGGGAAGATGATGAATGAAGATTTGGAATCCGGATTGAAGTAGTAGCCAAGATGTTGATGATGATAAGTGACCTACTATTGTATTGGTCTTGTAAGAATATGCAACGAGTGAGCGGATTCTATAGTCAAGTGCTTGCTCTAAGGGAATGCTTAGTTTGCATGGTGTTTAGATAAGTTTTTATTCATGGGAATTGCAATGTAATCTGTCATTTCACGTGTCACTTAGGATTGAGGTTTATTTGCATGTTATTTAAATTTCTATTTTGTATAAATTTATTGTATGTTCTGTTCTATTCTATATTGTACAAGGCCATTCATTGATTGTTCCTTCACATCCCATAATTCCCCCATTCCACCAAACTCCTAACAAAGAAAGAAATTCGTCATATCTCGTGGGTCATTTCATGATTGTTCAGAAAAGATAAAGGACAATGACAATGGATAATGAAATGAGAGAGAAGACAAAGAAAGCTATTCAGAACAACTATTCATCCTCTTCAAACAATTCACCACGCCACACATCCCCATCCTCACTTCCATCCGCACCTCCATCCTCTACCCGTAGCCACTCGCCTTCCGCTGGCGATGGAACACCAAAGATACTGCGACGGCCATACGCGATATTATCGGGCTCCTCCTCGACGACCCCAACCTCCATCGGCGTGACATCCACGAAAAAGGGTTCAGGTTCTGGCGTGGGTTCGCGCCACACGCGAGGTTCTTCGGCTTGCGCGACGTGTCTGCTCGCTCGGGCATTCCGTTCCTCGTTCAGATGCGTGAGCATCTCCATGGCGTTTGCGGTGTACTGTCTCACAATCTCCCACTCTGCTTCGGTGGGATAGCTATCGCGAGCTAATTGGTCGTCGAGGAAGCGAATGCATTGGTTGAGATACGCAGCGCCGGTATCATGTAGACCAGGGAGTTCGCGGATGAATTCGTTGGAGATTTGAACCAATTGTCCGAGTCCGGCAAGGGTTTGCTGGATTCGTTGTCGCGAGGGTGTCATCTCTCTTTCGCTGGATTCGTTTTCGGATTCGGATAATGCCAGACTAGACGGATCGTCCCCAGCATCAGAATCAATGTAATCGCTTAGATCCAAGGAACTAAGTTCATCATCGTCGTCATCCTGTGGCTGGATTTCGGGTTGTTCGGGCTCGGGTACCTTTGCTAAAGGTGCTGGTTCGGGTCTCCCAGCGAGAGCCCGAAACATGCGTGCGGCAATCGTGTTTCGTGAAATGGAGAATAAAGTAGCTTGGGCGGGAGCAACTTCTACCAAATACTTTCGGTACTGATTAATGATTGTATACCATCTGTCAAATTTTCCTTTGAGGCTTTCGAAAGAATGTTCGTTCTCGTGTTTCCATTCGCAGAAAGTCTTGCGATCTTCAACTCTGCCCCATACAGGCAATTCACTCGACAAGTTGCGCGCGTTGGGATCAAAGTCGAAGGTTTCCTCGTCCTTTTCGAATTTGCGCATGACCTGGCCGATGAATCTGTCGATTCTCTCATCATTTGCGTTGGAACGTTCCAAGGCGTCGACGTACGAGATGATTTCCCGACGAACTCTGTCTTCGGAAACATAACGGTCCGGCGTGTCTTCGGTCCAGGTTCCGAAGTTGTTTCTTCTCGCTGCCGATGTGAGCGTTTCCATGGCTCGGTTAAAGTTTCGCGTGCTGCCAACTTCGTGGAGGGAAAATCCCTGGTCGGATTCGGTCATGGTTCTGGTGCCAGAATCGATTTCGGCTTGTCTTTGAAGACACTCGTCCAACATTGCATCTTCAGTAAGGACCACAGAGACAACTTGAAATTCATCAACGGTCAAATCATGATCGACTTCTGCAAGTGCGTCCATGACGTCTTTAGAACGGGCCGCGAGATGTTGTCTGTGTCCTAAAAGGTAGTTACTATGAAAGTCAGTAAAGCCAATACAGTAAGGATGAAGTCTCTCTTTGTTCAAGAAAAGTTCAGCGTACTTACTAGCAATAGCTTCATCGGTCAATGGAAGCGGTCGCTCCAATCTTTGCCACTCGATGATGGCTTTGGCTTGTTGGTGATGTATCGTGGTTGATGCAGCTTCTTCCGCCGCTCGTTGTCTTTCGGTGCGTCTGCATTCCTTGCAGCATCTGATTCTGCGATGTCGGCCTCGAATGGCGTGGGTAGTGGTTTCGGTAGTGACCTCGGGATATTGCTCACATTTGGAAACGTATTGGATGGTTTCCTTGCTGCATCGCTTGCAGCGACTTCGATTTGCAAAGCACATCTTGATAGATTTATTGATTGATTGTTGATCTGTAGCTAAAAAAAGTCCGGCTTCTAAGCTAAGTTGATATGAATATTTGTAGGAGTTTTTGTGTGCTCTGTTCTATTGAATCGGGAATGAGTATTTGAGTTCTTAACGAGAAAAGAAAGGGGGTACAATCCAGACTTACTTTCCGAGAGTTATAGAAGGAACAATGACATTGTTCAACTTCTGTTCTCCGGATTCCTTTGTTGAAGTATAAACAAAGAAATCCATTACTTCTTTGTAAAATCTTTGAGCTTATTTTCACACGATCTCTGAACAATGCCACTGTCTCGCGACCTGCCCAGATATCGAATACAATCCCTATCTTTCGAACGCTCTCCATGCCTCAAACGTAATTGATCAATTGCTAAGGATTTTTCCGAAAGTTCTCTCTGTTCTTCCTGACGAACGACTTTGTGGAATCAACATCGCAATCGAAGCTAACGGTACAAATTTTAGGCACGGCCAAGCACTCTCTTATTCTCCCTTGGACATCATTGTTCTGGTCGAAAATTTGACTGATGTATTTGATCTCCAACTAGGTACCATCGTGAAATGATATTGCATCAATCCCAATAACTAGACATAAAAAATGAATCCTACACATGCTGCGAGAAGACGCCAACTCTGTATCGTATAACTAGGTATTGAAAACTCTGCCACTTGAGGAGAGAACATTTTTATGATTTCTCCGAAAGTGAATTTGGTCTTTTGGTGAAACTCAATCTTCAAGGTCTCATCCAAAGTAATTTGAAACAAGAAATCTTCAAGAAAATACATTGAGAGATCGCTCTAGAATCATCATTCATGACACTCGTTCGGATTTGACTGCTCAGCCAAAAGTGACGTCTATTCTTCAAGTGAATCCCAATTTCAAGTGAAGTCCCATGTGAAGTCCTAAGTGGTAAAGCGATATAAACGAATGCCAGCAATAACAATAAGCATCATCCGAAATTCTGATCTGAACATCCTCACAATTCCTAATTCACTTCATCTTATCTGCTACTTTCTTAGCTTCTAAAAAAGTTGGATCTGGTTCACTCTTATCAAAAAGCCGTACTTAAAATATTTTTTTATTAAATTACCGTCTTTTGAAAGTCGATTCCATACATCTAAATTTATGTCGAGAAACGACAATCGGTAATTCAATATTGATTTCCTGCGGCTTTTGATCGACGCTCCTCTCTGACCTTCGACTTCGAGAAGAATAGATTATCCAACACTCGTCTGCGAACAAATCACAATTTATCGAACATTCAGATTCAACCATCTCGAACACTCTCTACCCCACGAAGTCAAGTCCAAAAAAAAAGAGAATTCATACCCACGAAAAGACTTCTCTGAATTCACCTCCAAATCAGGAATCATGTGCAAAGCAACACTCACACACTTCAGCTGTCTATGCACAGCCCTCGTAGTTCACTCATGCGCCCTTGGTTTTCCACTCGGTCGTATGGTTTGCGGTCCGCCTAACCTAATCAAGAAAGATATATATGTCTATTCACACTGCGATGATTGTGTGGACGGCGCCCCTCTAAGAGAGGAGAAACGAGTCAGACTAGAAAAGAAGGCAAGTGAGAGATGGATGGAGATTGTGGAAGATGTGATCGGCGATGATGATGAGCATGGTGAGGGGGTGGAGGAAATCAGACTGGAATGTGCGGATGAGAGAGCCGGGGATGAAGGAGAAGGCGAGGTTTACGATGAGGGTAAAGATCGTGAGAGAAGTTTGGAGGAGGATTGGGAAATCTTGATGAAGAGACAGAAAACCAAGGAAGGACACCAGGAAGAAAACGAAGACGAAGAGGCGTGGTTCGCTGCTCAAGAAGCAATTCAATCTGAGCTCGAAAACTCCGAAGATACCTCCGATGAAGATGATGATTTGGCGGCTGCTGCACAATTACTATCGGCGCTTCGACAGGAACTCGGGAAGGGTGATATAGTTTCGCAGGACGCAGATTTTGACGAGAGTGAGGAGGACAAGGAAGAGGGAGATGAAAAGGAATATAAAGGGCATGTGCAGACGATCATGGAAAACTTGAGTAGGCTGAGAGATAGGAGTGAAAGAGTGGAGGTTGATTCTATGGTTGCGGAGCAGGAAGATTGGGGACTGTAGGGGAGATAATTGGAAAGCTGGGTTGTTAGTGCGCGGCATGGTTTGTTTGTCGTTTCTACATTGAACTATGCTTCATGTAGCTAGGTTCATGAATTTTTCATGGAACAATTTCTGAGGAAGATTGATAGGATGTGTTGAAATTAGTTTATGGGGCTTTCTTTGATGGGTTCTTTCACCGTTTTCTAGCTGATGGTATCTTAATCGATTGACATATTTCTTTGTACGTTTCTGCAACGCATTTTCCGACTGTTGAACAACAGTTTTTGAAAATAAATATTCTTGGTAACATAAGCTGAATAGCGGGAAAATGTTTGAAGTTCCAGCCAATTCAATGCCTACAGGAGCTATAGCAAAGCACTGCGAGCAGAGAAGAGGAAGGATTGTGCTTTTTGAGAGAAAGTATGAGATGCATATGATAAGGAGGCAAAGTGGACAATGGATGGCTCTTTTGCATTGGAAGCGAAATTTAGTAATCTTCAAGTGAGGAAATGGACCAAACACGTTGCAAATATGATGTGAAAGACTAATAATCGTAACTGTGATTGCATAATCTTTTTCTCGGCGTTACTGTTGAATCCTTCAATTCGAATATTATGTCTCCTTAGCACTTTAGAGCTTGTATATCGAATTCAAGCCTTCTCCGAGTTTTTGTGCTTCTGGACCTTTTCTCTTATCATTTTACTGTCTATATTCTGTGAAAGATTGTCATACACCTCTAGCCTTCCCAGTATGAAAAGTCTTATATGCCATTCTGGCTCACAAATTCTCCTTTTCTTGCTCGGACTCTTCCTTCTTTTTGGATTCATTATCTTCAGTATCATTCTTTTCCTCGATTGCATCTTCTTGATTAGACACTTCTTGCTGTTTGGTCTCCTTCTCTTCTCTCTCTTCTTCAACATCTTTATCTTGCTCATTGTGATTCTCCTGCCCCTGTTTCATGTCTTTCTGCTCTTGTTCAATCCTCTCCTGCTCAACCCTCTCCTGCTCGATCCTCTCTTCTTCAATTCGTTTCTCTTCCTTTTCTTGCTCTATCCTTCTCTCTTCTTCAATCTCTTTCTCTTTCTCAGAACCTTTCTCAGCCTCGCCGCCGAATTTATTCTTCCACGTCCCTGCATAATGATGATTCACGAAAACCTTTCCTTTTTCTTTCTTGAATCCATTTTGTGTCCCCGCGAATGCATTTCCCGGTAGAATCAACACATCATGAATCAATCTCGCACTTCTCAATTCTCCAACATCCCTATCATCAAGGTCCCTTCCGAGAATTTCTTTAAGACTCTTGATAATTCCCCACGTCATTCTTTTTGGTCCTGTTATATCCACCACATCACTGATCATGCTCAGCTCTATTCCTTCGATTGATACCTCGTTTCGACGTGCGATTTCATTCAGTTCGTCTAAAATATCATTGATGACCTGTATTAAATAATTAGAGACTTAATTAGTCATGGATTATCTACTACTGACCTGCATTAGATGTGGAGATCTAGGCTTTGCCATGATAGTCCAACTCGCGAATTGCGAATACATGGCAGTATCTTCCTGATAGTCATAATCGAACTCCAGACCAACGACAAGGTTTGCCGCTCGATGTTCCTCCAATACCCAATCATCCATGGGAATATCCTCACAAGAAACATCTAAATCAAACCACACTCCCCCATACGCATACAGTATCAAATATCGCAGCAAATCGGCTTTCAAGATCGGGATGCTGAGCGAAAAATAGGTATTCAAAATATCTGGCCGGTGGGAAAACCATTTCCATACATACTCATCCGCGAATGCATCAGTGAGCACTTCATATTCATAGCCGGGGTTGATATCCAGACAGTGATGACGGAATCTTTTGGCCTCGTCCGAAACACCTTGAGGTCCTACTTTATACCATAGCTTCTTGGGGAATCCTGGAGCTTCTGACGAATGTGTCGCAAGGGGCGCGGAGATGACCACGCTGGAGTTGGAGGACTTTGTAGAGATTGGTAGTTTTTGTTTATTGGAAATTTCCTCATGCTGAATTGCTACTATGATGAGAAGGAAGATAATGACAGTGGATAAGAGAAATGTTTGGTATTGGCAGGAGGTTTGTCGATACATGATGTAGGATTTAGATAGGCGGATGTTACTTCGATGGTCCCCATGCAAACCTCACCGTTCCGAATATCAAATGTACTATTCGTGAGGATTAATAGAGTTCCTGCTCAAGCTATCTATCGAGACTTCTGGTATTTAATCATTCATAACGCATTGACTGCTATCCTCGGCATTATATTGATGGTTGGTTTGAGTGTCGCGTTTTGTTCTCATTCCTGTTCCTCCTATCTCCACATTCTTCACACAAATATTCCATTCCACAATCAAACCTCCGTAACTCGAGAATCTCTATAATCCGTATCTGATATTCATTTCTTTTTGCCACTGCAGTGACCGCTGATAGCTCAAATACCGGGCAATCCCAAATCTCACTTGAAAGATAGCAATACGTTTCTCTTCGAAATGACCAAGAGCGATGATCCAGGTCCTCTTTTCCAAAGCCAATTGATCAATATTACGGACATCTTAGTGATATTTTTAAACTTCACTTCTTCAGCTAAAGAATGAGTTCAAGCCCCCTTGATTAGTAGAATGTAGGTCTTGGCTGGGCGATTACGCCAGCCTAAATGAGCATTAGTTTCACACGACTACTAAAACCCGAAATGCGAAGCGAGAGAAGCATGATTTATTGATACAGACTCACCAGATAAGATGGTTTGAAGTCAGGTATTGTTCATTTAGTAATTTATGAGCTAATGCGATCATCATGACTGAAGTATCATCTGTGAGTGCGCAGGAGAAATAAGACCAGCTCAGTTTCTGGGCCGTTCCAGACATTGCGATTGAGTCTTTCGCATGTATTAAAGACTGGGAAGCGCCTCATGATTATCATTGATATGATTCATATATGAAAATTAGTATATTTCTATATTATCTTTGGCTTAGTTCCACATATGATGGTAATCGATTTCTCAGCTCTTGCTGAATAGAGAAAATGGGTAGACTTTCATAAATTACTCATCTTGTTACTCACCTGGTTAGTCACCTAATCGTAGGAGTATCCTACTACCTACATTCCTTCGGTAGTAGGCTTTTTAAATTAAATAACCTTTCTAAATTAAATAATATGGCTTGATAATAAAATCGATTGATGCTTTTTAGAATTTCAGCCACATCATTTTTCCTTTATAATATTTGCTAGCAGCTACATTATTTAATTTAAAAAGTTTATTTAATTTAAAAAGTCTATTACCAAAGGAACGTAGATAATAGGATACTCCTACAATTAGTTACTCACCTGATTTATCTCCTTAAATTCTTCTTCCTTTTGTAAGCTTTCAATTTCGTTTTTATCAAAAAAACTCAAACTTTGCTCTAAAGAACGATAATGCAACAACTTCTACTGCCCACAAGTCTTTGATCCCTCGAGACTAGAATTATCTCTTAGAACCTTCTTATATCTCTATCCCGCTGTTTAGACGTATTATCTGGAAAAAGATTGACACTTATTCAAAGTCCATACAACCACGTCTCAACCACGTCTCGATTTTTCATGGGGAACCCAATGAATACTCTTTCGATGGTAGGAAACGAAGAAAATGAAGACATTACACACGGAAAATTAGAACGTCATCTTGGAAATTCTTAGAGAGAACCTTCGAGCGACTCGGTCTCGCAAAGCTACTGCGACAGTACAATGAAAGTGCAAACAGAAAATGGCTGTGTGCTCCTATAAGCATAAGCTGATACATTCAAGCGCGAGCAGACTTTCGCTACCAAAGCAACAATTGCGAGAACGAGAGCAGAATTTGACGAGTATTACAATTCCGTGCCAAGAGAAATAGCCTTCGAAGAGGTACTTCAGGCTATAAAAAAACTCCCAAGATGATTGGAACCACAATACTTGGGCCGGTAACTTCATCACTGCTTTCGATGATATGGAAAATCAGCTTGAGGAGATACAGAAAGCTCGAAGAGAGATTTTCGGTTGTGATATTTCATCGAATTGGGATTGTGATATTGATGTACAGCTGGGAAATACCAATAGAAAACGAATCGATTGGAGTGTCAATGACCTTGGAATGATTAGATACCAGTCGCTGACGATATGGGATGAGAACGGCGAGGCGAGGAGGCTAGACTAGCGAAGCTATTATACATGCGAGACTTCAACACAATAAACCTCAAATCAAACAATGCGATCATGTCTCCAATCCTACCATCCATCACTTCATTCTTCTTTACCAAATAGTTCTCGGTTACATCAAAGCAGTATTCTAGGGAGAGTAAGATCAGTGAAGCTAGCTAGATAGTGAGGCACGGCACTACAGTAGGTTGCTTGTGTGAGACCACACCTTCATCATTTCAATTCTTTCAATCCTTGTATCTCTTCTAGAAATTACACTAGGTACAAGCAAATCTGTCAGACAAGATCCTCATTTCATGTAGTCCCACATCTTCACTCAACCTTCCAGACGGAAACACCACAATTTCCATCCTGAACAATACAAGAATTTCTCCATCCCCTTCCACATATTCAGACACCGTCTAAATAAACCGCCTCTTTGCACGCGATCACATCAGAACTCCTCCCTCCATCCCAGGGAATAGACGACGCCCCACATTTCCGACAATCATGCAACTTTTAGGAGAAATTAGACGAGAACTCAACATCTCACTCACTTTTGATTGCTCATTGCTAGCTAGATGCATGAACCATTCTCTTCTCTTCTATTGGTTTTTCTCTTACAACAGTTGATTATGCCTTTTTCTCTTTCACATTCACTCGCCTTTATTAGTGTGAAATCAAAGCTCTGGAGCACAGTATTTAAGCCAATGAACTTTTAGCATTTCAGAGCTGTAAGAGAATTGTACCGGGGTTTCTTGTATTTAAGGAGTTCTTCGGTTTGTGAAGATTTTAAAAATTACATCACCAAGTCCATAAAAATTGACGTCAGCGTCAATATATTCAGCCTCGTCGCGCGAGTGTGTTTGTGTTATTGAAAAACAAGGTAAGTAACTGCTGTCGCAATATCTTCCTTGCTAACTTGCGTACTCTAGACCTTCAATCTATCGTCCAAGGCAACTACAAATATCGTCACAGCAGCAAGCAATCATGACGCCAGACCTTTCTCTCGTGGAAGCGCAGCCAGCGCATGCAATTACCCCCTCTGTCATCGACCTCCTAACTCAACTATCCACTCCTCAGCCACCCAAAAACAACTCCACAGCGACCTCCATTATTCCATCCATCCTCAACCAACTATCCAGCTTCTCCTCTGTCAACAAGATAATACCCAACAATAGCTGTCCCTTCATATCACGTCTTTCCACCGACGTCCGCACACAAATATACTCCTACCTCCTCCTCAACCCCATACTTTCCAAAGCAGAATGCATCAGTCCCGAAACCGATTTCGGCATGAACCAAAAATACGAACTCGAACCTTCAATTCTCAGAACATGCAAAGAAGTCTACGGAGAAGCATCTACCGTTCTCTACGGCCTCAATACATTTTATCTCGTCGCCATGAAAAGCACCCGCATGTTCCGTTTCACGCTTGCAGATTTTATTAGCGGAAGCGCGCTTACGAGATATTGGAGAGAAAATGCTGATATCTTCAAGGTTGCGCCCGAGTCTACTTTATATCTGTGTAAAGTACGTCAATGGCGAGTCGAAGTAAGCTGGTACGGATCTCCTGGCCAAAGCGCTATATCTCTTCCTGTAGTATCCATGAAAACACACGAGGAATACAAGTTCACGAGATCGTTGCCAATAGATCCGAGAACGGGTTTGCCGCCTGTTTCTGGACGAAGGAGAACTCGGAATCAATATTTGCTGAGACTTGGAACGCAAGAGGCGACGAGCTCGACGATGGAAAATACTCTTTCGTTCTTGAGACCGCTGCTCGAATATAGTTTGGTGCCTTTTTGCCATTTGGTTGCACTTTGTGAGGTACCGCCGCATACTCTGGAGATTATTATTAGAGCAAAGAAGGAGGGGGAAGCTCCCATACGATCCGAATATCTGGGTGTAGTACCTACGGAAGCTGAGAAATTGAGACTAGTAAGACCATTGGAGATGTTACGAGGAGTGGGTAGCTTGGTGTTTACATATGGCGAGAAGAGTAGTGGGAATGACGTACCGTCTGGCGAAAATTCCACCGAAGACACTACACCAGCCAACGAAGACGCCAATCCAAATACAAGTCAAAACAATACGCCACCCGAGATCTCAACCTACCAACTCATCCAACACTCAGGAATTATCCACCTGGCCACCTCCAAAGCACAAACCCTCGCAGTCGAATCCCCCGCCAACATATACAACAACCTTCTTTCCTACGCCCAAGCCTTCGAACGCTACGAACTCTTCAAGCAACACATGGCAACCAATTGGCTCTTTCAAAATGCCCACAGGGAAACCTCCAATCCCTACAAAACCAAAACTCCAAACCCCATCCAAGTCTCAAATCCATTTGGTCCTCAAGACACCTACAGATCTCACCCCGTAAACCGCCATCTTTCCATCGCCGCAGCCGCAGTGAGAAGACACGATATCGTTGCCCTAAGAAATAACCGCAAAGCCGTGATTGAGTACCTCGAACCACAATATACACGTATCCTCGCTCACGTCAAGAAATTTCGAGAATACACCGAGAAACAAAATAAAAAGTTCGGGATCTGGAAGGGAGTTTCGATACTCGAGGAGAAAATGCTCGAACGAGCGAGAGGCGACAGTGCGCTCAATCGGTCATCAAAGTCCCACCCCGAAAAAAGAACCAAGAGTATCGATTTCTCAGAAGCACTAGTGGTACTCGAAGAATACGCCGAGTCTTTCACCCGCGATATTCCGCTCGAAACACGTCGTCAAATTGCGCTCATTCGTTATGAATATTACGGTCATTACGAAGTCATGGAGCGCGAAGTGGCGATTCGGAAACTGCAGGAAATGGTAGTTGAGATGCCGCAACCATTTGAAGAAGCGGCCGTGGAATTCAGGAAATTGTATGTGCTCGCTGCGAACGATATGCAGAGACAGTTTTTGGAGATTAGGAGGGCGAGAAGACGGTTGATTGAGGATGATAGTGTGAGGGGTAAGAGGGAATTCCCGGTTGATTTTTCAATGGGGTTGGAGGATGGGGAAATTGATTGGTGTGTGTGGGATGATGGACTTGTGGTTCCGGAGAGTATTTTTAAGAATAAGAGACATCAGGCTAGTTGGTACTAGTATATTAGTAGTTATATAGGATAATTTATAACGCGTATGTGACTTTTGCGCTCAGCGAGTGCTCTTTGATGATGACAGAATAGTGAACAGGAGACTATGTGTGTATACCGATCAAAACATGCAGTATGAAAATAGTGATGAAGAGACTGAATTCGATGAGAAGTATATAAAGGGGTCTTTGAACACTCTTGATAAGCATTTTGTAGATAGAATACTTTTGATTTCTTTTGCTGTATATACCTACTTCTCTTCCTTCTTAACGTCCTGTTTCGCTTTAGCCAGTAGAATAGCCGAACTACAACTTTCTAGAAGATAGATTATAAAGAGAGTGAAGAATACAACTGTTTATATTAACTCGATATAGCTAATCCAACGCTAATCTATATATCATAGAATTATAGTATTGTAGTATTGAAAACAAAACCCATACTCGTTGATACAAGATAGATAGTTATATACAAACTAATCAGTATACTTTTCTTTCTATTATTTTTTTAAACATTCGAAATAACTCCCGTCATCGTATTATATAAAAACAGTATATATTCTTTACTAAAGAATCTCATTGCTATCAACATTTCAAAATTCCTTGTAAATCTAATCAGAATCAATAAGGCGATAAATAGTAAATATATATCAAGAAATACTAATCGAATCGATCGGATAATCCATCCCAGGTTACTATTATCGGAGTGGGAACTGGGGATTGTATTGGTCCTGCTGTTACTGTTCAGTGCTTGTGAAGTGCAGAGGGAACTTGAAAGCGACGTACATTCAGGTGGAAAGATGGACAGTTGTATATCATTCTCAGTTATTCCAATCTCTTCGACTGCAATGCAATTGATATATTGACATATTTCCGACCTTCACTTGAAAGCAAATACCTGTAAAAAAATTAAGGGACAAACGAATAATGATGAGTGAGGTCGACGCCAAGAAAAGACGATACAACTAAAGCATCACAAGAGAGCGAAACCGCCATTGTTTTGAAACTGAGCAATGTAATTATAGCAACAAATAGACAAGGTATCTAGATATACTTATTAGATAGGAAGGTCGACGAACGAATTGAAAGTGCATATCACGAGCGCACTTATCACGTGATAGCGTCGTCCACTGCGCCTCTCATACCATGCTCACCGACGACGAGGTGCAGAAAGATCAGAGTAATTTAGTGACTCCCACAACTTACTTACTAGATAGCGATGAGGTGAAGATCAAAGAACAGTCTTACCTAATCTTACCCTAGACTTTATATCCAAGACACCCTTATTCTCCTCTCCCTTACCCTGCATCTTCCATCCAACGAGCCAACATCGAGTATCCCAAACCTACCTCCATCCAACCTTCAAACCTTGGCTTATCAACATCAATCATTCCAAACTCTCCATTCTCGGCCCGAATCCGGTTTTCCTCATCAATCATCTCAGTCGGGTCGTAAACCCTCACACCCCTATCCATTCCCGGGACCCGAGTATTCACATCTCATATCTCATACCATATCTCTCACTCCCCTCTCGAACCCCTCTCTTATCAACGAAACAACCTGGATACAAAACAAATAGTATGCCGACTACACTATCCATCCATCCATCCCACTTACACTCCGTGAACTACCACTAGGTACCAATACCAAATTTCACATCTCCATTCTTCTCTCGCGAATCGCAATAAATCCAGCCCAACAACCCTATCCACCCATCTTCCCCTAACCTTCATCAAATATCCCAATCCCAAGCACCCCAATCAGTAACCGTAATCTCATCTACTTCCTTCGTAGTCCAAAACATCAACAACATCCATCCCTCTCACACTCTCATCCCCTCTCCCCCATTCCCCAGCAAAACCCCACTAACCCCAAACTAGCTAGCGCACCACCCACCAACCCAAGCAATCAATCTCCCGAGCTCCCTTTCCCTCATCTCCCTCCTCGGCAAAACCCCGGCTCAACTAATCCCTCTCACAAAAGTAAAGATAGAAATAAAAATAAAAATAAAAATAAAACAAAACCCATAACGTCATTCCAGATAACCTAGCATTCATCGGTACTTCCCATCCCTATCCCATCCTTCCCTTTCTTCCTCGCCTATCATCATCCATTAACCAACCAATCAACCAATCAACCAATCAACCAATCAACCAATCAACCAATCATTCACCATTCCCCAAAAAGATGAGACCACACCAATGACCATACCATACCAAACCACACCACACCACACCATACTCCCCTCCCCTCCCCGCTTTTTCCGGGTTTATCCGCGTGCCGCCGTCGTTGTTGAATCTACACAGGACTTCGTACATTGTATTAGTAATTATCTATCTGATACCCTACGAGTATGTAAGATCTTACTTTATCATGTTAGCATTTCATACTCGAGTAGTATATCAAGCATCAAACCCTCAAGAATCAACCATCAAGAATTAATCCTCAAGAATTAATCCTCAAGAATTAATCCTCAAGAATTAATCCTCAAGAATTAATCCTCAAGAATCAAACCATTCCCATCCCATCCCATCCCATCCCATTCCATCACCACCCTTTACTCTTCTCTCCTCTTTTCTTCTCACTCATATCAAAAACCAAAGCTTCATCTATCTAACAATACATACCTATACACATACATTCGTATAATACATATAAAAATAAACTCCTACATATATACCTACACACAAACACACATACAATATATACATCCACACACACCTACACATATACCTACACACAAACACACATACAAAAAACTCTCTTCCTCCCCTTCCCTACCCATCCCTACCCATCCCCTTCACCAAATAATCATCTACTAAACCCCAAAGAAACCCCAAAGAAATCATAAACCATAAATCACAAACCACAAATAAGAATCATGAGAATTTCATTTGCGCATTCATCAGCATCAATTAGTGTGATAATTTATATAGCCCGTGTTGCAAATCAACATCACAAACCACAAACCACAAACCACAATGCGCCCGCCATTCACCACTTTGAAGTTTTGAAGAAACATATCCACCAATCTATCGCTAAAGATGAAGGGGCCTCGAGACATCGCATCGCCAACCAAATCCCTCCAACTGTATTATCCAATTTGTTATATATATAAAAAAAAATAAAAAAAATTGGCGCATCGCACACAACACAATACAATACAATACAATATAAACCAAACAATTTCAAATAGATTTTTATATATTATTTATTTTTTCACTATAAAACTTCCATTCCATCTGTACCCTTTCTTGACTTTCCATCATTCTCCATTTGATTCAATTCAGTTCAATTCAATTTGATCAGTTTAATAGGTAGTAGTAGAGTACTAGTAGTAGTAATAAGTCAACTTTTCAAGATTCAAAGAGAACGCACACACAGACAGGAAAACGTGATATGATATGAGATGACTCGATTCAATTCATCATAACAAGAAATCCATCAATCCATCAATCCTTCCACCATCCGCCTTCCCTCACTCTTCCCTTTCTCTATTTTCCCAAAAGAACAGACCAATCCTATTGCAATCCCAACCCAAATCGCATTGAAAAAGACAGGGAAAGAAAGAATACAAATCACATAATCGCCTCCATTTAGCAATTCCCCATTTCCCATCCATCCCGTTCCATTCCATTCAACTCCCTATAAACAACCCCAATGAAGTGAGAGTGTGAGAGTAGAGTGGGATTAGAACCAGATTTGAACCCAAAATCATGGAATCAAAAGCAGTTAATTTTCACAATGAAATATCATTCAAAAATGATAGACGACCTCTTCCGCTTGCATCAAAAGTTGAGTTTTCCTCCCATTGATACATATATCATCTACCACCAACATACAAACAATTTGATAAAAGAATGTGACACATGCATCTGCTCGCTGCAAAGGAGTATCTTCGAAATTCGAGGTGAAGGGGAAACAGTTGAAGCAGTAAGTGCAAATCAGAAAGAACAAAAGAAAAATCATAACTATGTTCATGGGAATCCATTAATCATAAAAGGAGTGTCGAGATTGTATAAAAAGTGTTGAAATGTGTTGAAATGCTCCACCAGTTAAACCAAAGTACAACGATAAAAGAAAAGTGCACCGTGTTTATTTAACCTAGACGGAAAGAAAGAACGGTTACGACAAGATGAAGAAATATGAAGGCTTTTTTAAACGCTGCGAGGGAGGAATTGTTGATCAAGATAGTGACACAAAATGCTGGCGCTATAAAAGACTTTTGTTCGCTGTGGTTATGATGACATTGATGTCGCCATGAAGCTGATGATCAATTGCGCGGCAATTGATCATTATCGCTATGAAGAGATAACTTTTGGTACAGAGATGTAACCGTGAGGTTATTCAATACTCGAATCGAAGTTTGACGATCGAGTCGATGGTACAGTGAATTTACATCACCTCTTTCTCTTCTTACTCTTCTCAAAACTGCTTGCACCACTAGCAGAAAGCGCTGACGGGAATATTGGGACTTGTGGTAGCTCGTCTTTCTTCACAGGTACTCCCATATGACGCCCATAACGACCTTTACGACCGTTCCCTTCATCTTCGCTGACACACTGATCAATGCCAAGTCCAGCATCTTGGCATCGGCCACAGGGTCTTTGACGATCGCAACCTTTCTTACTCTTCCTGCAGCGTTGACAACGTGGTTTAGATGAAAGGTCCTCTTCATCGTCACCGAGATGATGTTGATGAGTTGCGGTAGATGCCACAGAGGTCTTTCGTGATTGCGATGGTAAGGAAGTGGGTGAGATGGGACCCTTACTAGAGGCAGAGACACTGTTGGCTTTCTTTGGCTTAACCAAGGGCGTTGGTCTATTTGGTTTGCTAATTCTGTTGGCTTTGGACTTCAAAGAAGAGGAAGGTAAAGGTTTTCTAGCGGCTTTAGCCTTGACGACCTTGGGTTTTGCTAGTTCGCTATCAACAGCATCATCTGCTTGACCTGGCTTGAAGGTTCCATCATGACAGTCTTCAAAGTCACGTTCATCACTACTTGGCTCAGTGCTATCTGTCGGTAGATTCTCTTCCAAATGTGGATGAGCCTTCTTCAAGAACCCAGGTGGCAGAATCGGGCTTGGCTCACGCTTTAGTCTATGAGAAGGGAGTTCATTTTCACTCTCGCTCTCACAATTACTGGTAGCACCAGTAGAGGAAGCTGCATCAGCACGCCCACTGAAGGTGTCGTCAAGGGTTGATGCGGAAATGCGACCATGAGAAATGTTTGACATGTCGCCAAGTCTCATTAGTTGCAGAGCGACATCCTTGTCTTCCTCTGACATGCAACTGCCGATGGTTGGATCTGGAGTCGGCAGTACATCCGACATATTTCCTGGTGTACTAATAGATTGACGTCCTGGAGGATATGACCCGCGCGTTCGGCGACTTTGTGCTGCCGGCGTAGAATAGAGGCCAGGCTCTCCGAACCCGTTGGCATTGCCAAAGCTCCTGGGAGAATGAAGGTTGGGCACATTGGAGAAAGGATTTTGGGAAAACCCCGCGAAAGGAAAACTTGATCGTTGGTTTTCCATGCGACGTGCCGGAGAAACGGAAGAATTCGAAGTCGCAGCGGGCATTTGTGGTGGTGCGAACAAAGGAAGTTCCTGATTCAAATCATCATTAGCATGCGTGTGGAAGACATTGTCTGCTTATGCGCAGCCAAGTAAACTTACAGAACTTTCAAATTTAGCCCTCTTTCGTCGACCTCCCTCCACAATATTGTCAAGACTAATCTCGGTGTTACCAAGGTGCTCGCTCTTAGCTCTGCTAGTAACAGATCCAGCTCCTCCATCTCCACTGCTATATCCATTTAATCCATCGCTATGAAGTTCTTGGAAGCTACCATGAGTGCTTGAGCCACGGCTTTTGAAACCCGATCGGGATCTACTCTTTTTGGCCGGAAGCGGTTGATTGACACTGGCAGAGACACTACGACGGCCACGGCCTTGGCCAGGAGAAGTGCTACGCTTTCGCGATGTCCTAGACGTTGGTCTTGAGACAGGATGGCCATAATTGAGAGCTTGGTGGGGTGGTAAGTGCGTCTCGCCAGGATAGTAGGCTTGCTGTAAGCGTGGAGAGCCAGATCCGTATGATGATGGCCCATATGCATCAGAAGTTTCTTCTTGAATGACCCTGACATACACCACCATGTTGTTTCTAAAGTTCTCGTAACGTGCGATGAGAGTGTTCCCTTGTTCGTCTTCGAAGCTAACACCTTTCGCACCAGCGCCATCTGCGTATAGACCGTAAAAGTTCTTGACAGTGGCAATAATCGAGTCTGTAGTATCGTGAGGGAATATTTGAACACGCATCGGTAGTCGCGCACGATGCTGAGGAGATTGTGTAAAGAGGAGTTCGAATGCGACGCTCTTTGGGGTAGGGCTCCCAGCAGGCGACATGGCCATGGAGTGTGGAGTGTTCATGTTGAATTGAGCACCAGCATAAGGAGGCGCGGGTGGTGTACCGCTTCGCCCATCTCTATTGTGCATATCCGTACCGGACATGATTATTTTTCGGGTCGGGTACGAATGTGTTCGCTGTGGAGGATCGGTAGGTTCGGCGTTTCGATTTTGTGCGTTTGAAGAAGATATAGACCCAGTTATAATGTTGGCTAATTCCATATGAATGCTGAGAGTATGCTTTTGCTCAGATCAGTCGCAGATGTTTATAATTGAGTGAATGTATGTATATTTAGTATTTGAAATCCCGAATGTTGTGTGAAGTGTACAGTCGTTGTCGTCGCCGTCGTCGCAAGTCAGTCGGATAGACGAGGACAGAGGTGGGCAGGAGAGAAATGTTCGCTCTGATTAAGAAATGCTGTTAGCAATAGTCATGATAGACCTGAGGATAACATCCTAGGGACATTTGATGAAGGGAGAAGTGAAGTGATGGCATTGTCGTCCAATCTAGTGCCGCTGGATGTCCACCCTCCTTCTGCGACAATGATCGGAACGATCGGTTGTATTGGAATGGAGATATAGAAGCGATATTGGACTCGTTTTTCCCGATCGCATAAAGTAAAAGTAGGATTGAGACTTACTGGGGATGGAAAAGAATGTTGTTGTGAGCCCTATCGAGGCATTGGAAATGGTCGTCCTGTAGAATTGGTGTCTCTCACAACCTATGAAAAGAATGGTTAGAGAGAGAGGGGATATGGTTGAGAAAATGGCATCTCGAGATAATTGACTCTAATATTAAAGACTTAATGATCAAATATCATACTTACTTGAAATTATATCAAGTCGTATGTTTTCCGTGGTGTCTTGTTCTAATATTGAGTGTGTGGTTTGGAAATGGAAGAAGTCGGTCCTCGTTACTCAGAATATGTTAGGTGCTTTGCATAAAATAATATGATTTGGAGAGTTGAATAACTTCTATGCTTGCTTCAATGGCACAACCAAGAATATCAAATCTACATATTTTCATCATCATTCCTATTTTAAATTGTCTCTGATGAATTTGGCTATCTAATCATTACACCTTGATTTCTGTGTCGACGAGAAAGAAAAGGAGTAAATTCTCACAATACACATTGCATAATTGCATATAAATCCTCATGCCCAGTAGCAGAGACGGCGGAGTACGATGTGTGTGTTATATATACCTATCTATGAGGTATTTCATCGAGACTCTGTTCATCATCCATCTTCGATGCAAATGGTTTCAAGCTGACACTGACATTCACTGATGGATCTCATGTGCCTTGCCTGCTCAATATGGCTATGCACATTCGATATCATGACTTACCTAGGCAGGTTCTCTCCGCAGTCCGTTGTCTCCAATCCTCACACAGGTAAGTCATGTTATGCCGCCATTGGCAGCAGCAGAAGGACCTAGGTAGGAAGGATATTATCTCCGCTGGGCAGTAATGATTAATCAAAGCTTCATCCAACCTTGTTCGGAGGATCTATTCCAACATAAAATGTATCGAGCATATCAATGGACTGGTCAAGTTTCGGCTCTTGAGTATATTAAGACATAATTCGAGTCGGATCCATCCCGTTTTCGGGCTGGCTACGTTCATCAATCCCTCTTTACCTTGGAAAACGAAACACACGGAATCTTCGCAAGTGTGCCTAGTGCTTTTGAACATCTATCAACATTTCGCAACAATCATGGGAGATGATGTCCACCCTCTCCCCCCTGTATGTATAAGTTCATCAAAGTCCCCAAGCGCAAATGCATGCGACTCAGAAGTAATAAATTATACCTTGCGAGAACTCCATACATGTACTCTGTTTCTCCTCTAGACAATACTTGATGGCCAGCACCCATTCAGCTACACATACTGCGCACTTCAAAATACACCAGTGCGGTCGAGACAACTCACGGAAAGCAAAGGCCAAGTGCTTGAGTAAATCTTGCTAATCAGCCAATGAGAGTAATGCGTCAACGTCTAAAAGCAAGGATGATTTGAGAATGATCATGGGTGTAATGTTCGATCTTCCAGTGACGGTACTCGTTTGACATGTTCGAAGATTGTAAGGAATTGAATGCGGTGCAAAATTAGAATGAATGAAGGGAAATATATTGGGGATTATTGCTAATCAATGGAATCGCGCATTTCTCCTCTTCTCTTCAAAGCTATAGATGTACTTTTCAATTGATGATTGTGGTTGTCGGTGTAGAAATACATTTGGGGAATGGTGATTCCCCCTTCATCTTGATCGCGAAAGGAAGATTTGCGATCCGGGATCATGGTATGCGTTGGCCACGAGTTTCAAATCGCATTCATGCTCCAAGCTGATTAGAAGAAAACAAGTCTTCCACGCTCTACTTAGGTCCTCAAAATAGATCCAAATGATTATGACCGCCACTAGAAAAGCATCAAAGTACTAGCAACAAATCAACAACAATTGACGGCGGCGTAAACAGGTAAGAATACTAATTAGCACATGTTGAGTGGCTTATGAATGGAAGTCTCGATGTACCGTGTGGACGATGTAGGTACGCTCGTAGGTACACGGAGTGCTCTTTGCTTATCCAACGTTAAACATGATTCATGTCAACCTATCAAGAGTGCAGCATTCCAATGCAAGCTGTTTTGTTCTTGTAATGTTGCATAGGTAGATACACATACATATTCTCTTTCAATCGTGTGCGACATAGTTTGGTCCAAAATTTGAGTTGAAGCATTGTAACATCATCAATCATCAAATCATCACATCACATCACCAAGCCGTATCGATGATTGATGATGAGGGGCTTGGTGAAGGAAAATGCAAAAGGGTGGGGATTTCCTGGGTTAATGCTAGAGAGGATGATGAATGCTAGACACTTCCATGATCCATCGCAAACACATCAATTTTAGACTTTAGTGTGCAGCACAAAACCATTCGAGGACTGATTTTGCAACACCTTGAGAGATAAACATTTCAAACCTAAAGAGAGCAAGTAAAGATACCCAGACCAACACATATGGGTGCAAGGCGCAATGTGTTGTGTCCATCGTCTGTACATTCAATGACGGTGGTTGAATCTGTGCAACAGCCATCTATCTGTCTGGTCTGGTGGTCTAGTCTTGTCGCAATCGCAATCCGAATCCCAATCCTTCAAATTCAATATACTGCCGTCGTTACTGCGTAGATGAATGTCATAGTCCAATGAACTGCGCGGAACCCTTCTCACCACGAAACTGTGAGCTTGGCCGGTAGACCGCAGACCCCGACCTTGGGAAGTACAAGTTCGCAACCAGAAACCAAAGTAAGCTTCCTCGAGTAAACAAAAACAAAAACAACATTTCGCGACAAACCTGCCTTCATTCATCCGGGAAAGTCGCGCGCTGATAGGAAGATGATAAACAATTCAATAATATGAGCCTGCGCCATAAGCGCATAGTTCCCCGATTGTTTTGATTTCCGATTCGTGATGCGTGTTCCGGCTCGAAAGACTATACATATATTGTTTGGCAAATCAGAAAGAATAAAATTGCCCCTCTTCGAGTACGAGGTTGATTTCCACCCGTCGAACACCAATCGCGGCACTTTTGAGTTTGAATTTTCGAACTTTTATCTTGAAGTGCGTGAGGAGAAAGCGTTCAAAATGGGGTTTCGTAACTTTTGTTCAATCCTGCATGATTCATTGTGGAGATATGGAGATATGATTGATAAAAGGTCGAACATCTTTTGTATTCGTGGCACATCGTTCGGCCTTTCACCATCCTTGGGTCTGTCACCCACCTTTTGAAAAGGCTAAAAATCGTAGAAAGCTAATGCATAAGATGAATAACGGACTGTTGGATGTATTGCGACGCCCAGATGAAGAATGGGAGTATGAACTTGGTCCCTGTGTAGAATATGAGGGGTCCGAGGGGTTTTCGAGGGGTTCGCATTTCGAAGGTTGATTGAGCAAATCGATTTTGGATGAATCTTTATCAGCACGTGATGAGGCGTTTCTCGACTGATAACGAAACATCATGGAGAACAACACGATCGAGGATTTATATGTGCGGGAAACAACTGTGAGACGGGCTTGAGAATACCCAAAAACTGAATGGGATGTTTCTTCGTACTTGGATAAACCAGTTGGAATGGTGTTTATATAAGAATTCACTTACATGTCCGTGGTTCGATCCAGATTCATTATCCTGTCGTGTCTTGGGGAGACGTGTAGGAAAAACGCGATGCCACAAGATAATTTGCCTTACCAAAGCATAATCACGCGCTAAGCTCGAAGGGGAGAAGTGTAAATAAAGCTAAGAGCACCACGCAAGGGTCATGTTGTTGTTGTGCTCCAACTGCCAATCACATTGCCGAGATTCTGGTCCCCGCCAACCAGACAAAACAAAGAATTAAAATTGTATGCACCTCTCGACCGGTACGCCAACCAATTTATTATACAAGAGAGAACTTTTTGGTCGAGACCCAAACATCAACAACTTCATCTTCGTCGCTCTCCACAAATCTCTCCGTCTCCCTCACCTTCTTTTCCTTCTATTCCCCTCTAACCCCTCCTTCGGACCCCATATCATCGTATCCATCTTCATGCTTCGAGCTATCATCACTCTGCAGGGACTTTTTTGACTACACGATTTCATACATTGCATATCGAAGCAAACGATTGGCATAATCCCCAATAATTCTTGATTCATTGTCCAATTGAAACCCATCCCTTTCACCAAACAACATTCCTTCATGACATCTTGATCGCGATAGCTTCTTGACGCTTTTTCTGATACTCGCATCACTGCAGCAATAACAATAAACAGTCCCGTCATCGCAAATCGGCTTCGGCTCTTGCTATCGTGTACCTGGTTTGGAGGAAACAATAGCTTCAATCATGGACGCTCGAGTAAGTTCTTACCTCCTTCTTCTTGCCGCTGGCATTATGACTATTATTGAGGCGGTGGTGCCGGTGCCGGTGCTGGTGCTGGTGGTGGATCGCTCTTTCCTCCTTTCTCCGAGCGATTCATTATTTGACGAGCACCCAATTTGACGCAATCTTCTTTTACTTTCGTAATCTCCTCATACTTCGATCTACATTCCAATTCATCACCCTGTCAACTTCATTTCAATCTTCTTAGATTCTATTCAATTGCAGACAAATCAAACTGACATTAAATGTTTTAATAGCCCCAAAGACCTTCACGATTTACTCAAGCCAATACTAATGGTGATGAGAACGTCGCACCTTTAATTACCAAACAACAATCAACTCTACATCAGAAACACAAGTCCACAGGAGCCTTAACAAATATGTTAGCAGTCGGAGGACTCAAGGCTGCTGCCAAGAGGACTGCATTTGGAGATGTTAGCAATACCGCAAAGACTTTGACTACTATTCGGGACGAGTCTGCCGTTAATGGCAAGTCTGTCGAAACCATTAAGCCTATTGCTACTCAGGATAAGTCAGCTGCACTTTCAAAGCCAGCACAACGACCACTCAACAATGGCCTCAAAGCACCATTAGCTACATCTACTTCCGAACAACCTTCTATTGCTCCACTTCAAAAACAACCTCAAGCAAATAACACCAAGCGCAATACTTTGGCTAAGAAGGGTGCGGTATACAAGGATAACGAAAATGAAAACATTCAACCACTGGCGCAAAAGCCAATTGCCTCGAATAGTTCAGCCCATCAAACCCTCGGTCCCAGACATGCTAAGAGTCAGCCTGAGATCAAGGCCGAACAACCGCTTTTACGACGAACACAGAGCAAGCAGTTAAGCAACGCTGTTGACAATGCTGAACCCACAATCTATCACAACGCTTCGGAGGATCCTTTGAAGGAGAACGTCGACGAATCTCACCTCCGATCTATCAAGGAAAAGGATGAGTCTGCTATCACCGAGAAGTTGAAGTCACAAAAGCAATTGCCAGCTGCACCAATTGCCTCCGAACCCGAAGAATATTGGCCCGAGGATGAAGAAGAGACCTATGACGACCAAGGCTATACAACCGCCCATTCGTTCCGAGGGGAGAATACCACTGGAGGAGCAACCACGGTTATCGTCCCAAAGGTCACAAACAAGGTTAAGAAGGAGCTTGAGGATGCCAAGATTCTTGTCGAGTCTGTTCGAACCCAAGAAGATATCGAGGACGAGATGTGGGATACGAGCATGGTAGCTGAGTATGGCGAAGAGATCTTCACATACATGAGAGAGCTTGAGGTTAGTGATTCTAAAATTCATTGTTATGCTTGGGGAACGGTTTTGGTCTAGCTCATCATGGAACAACAACAGCGGTCACTACTGAGACCTTTTTTGTTCACGCTGCCTCTGATTGATTTTGTTTTACACTTTGCTGACAAACCTTCAACCACAGAACAAACTTCTTCCCGACCCACACTACATGGACACACAAGCAGAGATCCAATGGTCAATGCGATCTGTTTTGATGGATTGGTTGATCCAGGTTCACCAACGATTCTCTCTACTACCCGAGACCCTCTTCCTTTGCGTCAACTACATTGATAGATTCCTTTCAAAGAAGGTTGTTTCGCTTGGCAAGCTTCAATTGGTTGGTGCTACCGCCATCTTTGTTGCTGCCAAGTACGAAGAAATCAACTGTCCTTCCATCGGAGAGATTGTCTACATGGTTGATGGTGGTTACAGCAGTGAAGAAATTCTCAAGGCAGAGCGATTCATGCTCAGTATGCTTCAATTCGAGTTGGGATGGCCTGGACCAATGAGCTTTCTTCGTCGCATCAGTAAGGCTGATGATTATGATCTTGAAACTCGAACATTGGCCAAGTACTTCTTGGAGGTCACCATCATGGATGAAAGATTTGTCGGTAGCCCACCAAGTTTTGTTGCTGCTGCATCCCATGCTGTTTCTAGGTTCATGCTCAGCAAAGGTGATTGGTCTCCAGCCCATGTTTATTACTCTGGTTATACTTGGAATCAGTTGAAGCCATTGGTTGCCTTGGTTATTGAGTGCTGCGAGAATGCTCGAAAACATCATGCTGCTGTCTTTGAGAAATATTCCGATCGCCGTTACAAGAGAGCATCTACTTACGTCGAAGATCAAATGATCAAGGGCTTCCAAATCCCAGGTATCAATCGCCGCCGACAATCTCCATCTATTCCAGCTCCTTTACGCCTCGATTCTCAATACCAAAATGTTACCTTTGACCCATTGTTGTCCATCGAGGAGAACTCTCAGCGAATGGTTCAAGCAAGAACCTAAGAATCTTAATTACAATAATCCTTTATAACAACACATCACACAACATTCAATTCACTGTATTTTATTGGACCAGATACGATTTTGAATCGACTACCATTCCTTTGGCATTTCGATTTAAACAACATCTGGATCCACTTTTACCATACCCCTTCATTAGACCACATTGCTTCACAGTGGCGTTGGCGGCGTTGCATACAAAATCAATTGGTTGCCGTCATCACTTTGCACAACGCATAATGGTTGGCTTTTATTTTACTGGTTTTGTTCTTCCCCTTCCTGGTTTTTTAGTGAGGGAGAGGGTTTTGCTCAATGATATGGCTTTTATATCCTCTTCTGGAATTTAGGGCAGATACCTTTGCAGCATCACGACTTTCATGATCTGATGATACCATGACTTTTTGAGTTATTTGCTTTTTACCTGGTGCAGGAGGGACAATGGATTGAGAAAGGGGAGGAAAATCAAAGCAAATGGGCGGCAATATATCCACTGATCGGATATGTACTGCTTATCATCTTACATCAATATGGGGAGTTTAATGGCAGGGGACGATTCTGTATTTTTTTTCTTTTTCTTATTGCAATTGTTTCGTCGTCGGAGTTCTAATTCTCATCCACGGATGGGATTGGAATGAATTGTATTCCCAAGATACCATGAAGAAGTATTGGCATATGATAAAAATACTTCAAATTGAAAAATAAAAATAAGATAAAAACATGTTTGTGTGTTTTGTTGTGACTTTGATGAATGAAATTGTGAAAACTTAAGAAAATTGCTCTAGGCACAAGGTGTAATAGCAAGAAAGACATGATGAGATGAAGGATCTAATAAATGTAACTCTCATTGGAACCATCCGAAAAGGGGGACTAGGGGGTGAATGGAGGACTCGCTTCTTTTTGAAGTTTTCCCCTGAAAATTGAGGGATGGTTGATTTGTTGAGAATAGGTATTTGATGACAGGCGATAATGGCTGAGATGGGTATATATTTGTGTTTGATGGGATGAGATAGATAAGAATGATTTGAGTGAGGATGGGATGGGATAAGTGAGGATGGGGTGGGATGGTGTGTGTAATTGGGGAGTAAAGGATAGGATAGTATAGGATAAAATGGGATAGGATAGTATGGGATAGAATGGGATAGGATAGTATGGGATAGGATGGATAATATAGAATGGGATGGGATAAATGGGATAAATGGGATGGATAGGATGGATGGGATGGATGGGATGGATGGGATGGATGGGATGGATGGGATGGATGGGATGGATGGGATGGATAGGGGAGTGTGATTGGGGACTGTTATTGGGTGATTGAGTTGATGGAGAGAAAGGAGGAAAGGGGAGGAAAGGGGAGGAAGGGAAGGAAGGGAGAGAGAAGGGGAGGAGAGAGAAGGGGAGGAGAGAGAAGGGGAGGAGAGAGAAGGGGAGGAGAGAGAAGGGGAGGAGAGAGAAGGGAGGAGAGAGAAGGGGAGGAGAGAGAAGGGGAGGAGAGAGAAGGGGAGAGAGAGGAAGGAGAAAAAAGGAGGGAGGAAAGGGAGGAGAGAGAAAGGGGAGGAGGGGAGAGGAGAGAGGGAGGGATTAGATTATAAGAGATTCTATTCTATAGATCATACATAGATCATATATAGACCATATATAGATTATATATAGGTAGATCATACATACACAAAACATACACAAAGCATACACCTAATAAAACTATATACTCATAAAACTATATACTAAAAAAGTATATACTAGGTATATATTAAGATATCTCCAAACATCGCGGTAAATCAATGTCTATAGAATCATACTAGACAAGAGATTCAGAGTAGTCTATAGGATCATACTAGGCAAGAGCTTTAGAGTAGACAAGAGATTCAGAGTAGACAAGAGATTCAGAGTAGACAAGAGATTCAGAGTAGGTAAGAGGTTTAGAGTAGAGAGTATTTTAGAAGTAGTTTGAGAATATACTAGTACTCTGTCTCTGATTCTGGGTCTGGGTTGTTTTTGGTGGGGAGGGGGGATGGTAGATGATAGATGGTGGGTGGTGTAGATTTGGATTTGGATTTGGGTTTGGGTTTGGATTTGGATATTTGTATATCTGTATAGATAGATAGGTAGTATATATATATATATATATATATGTAAGTATGTATGTATATAAGATAGGTAGATAGATATCTAGATATCTAGATAGGTGGTTAATGAATAGATTATAAATAGAAGCAAATAGGTGACTAGATAAGTTATAAGTTTTATGTAAAATTTCTTGATATCTTATACAATTTCGGAAGTAATAAGTATAGTTAGTTAGTTAGTTGGTTGGTTAGTTGGTTAGTATATGGGAACTGATGGGTTGCTGATGGGTAGGTTGATAGGTGGGTATATAAATAATTAGGTGAATAGGTGGATAGATAGGTAGATAGGTGGGTAGGTAGTTTGGTTGATAGGAAGGTAAATGGATAGATTGATGAATTGATAAAGTAGATAAATATATGAGTAGTGATATATAGATAGATAGATAGATAGATAGATAGATAGTAGATGATGGGGAGAAATTAGAGTTGTGGATATAGAGTAGGAGGGGTGCGTGACCCTGAAGAATACTGGGCATATTAGGTGGGCTTGTAGACTTGTGGGTAAGCCGGATGCCAAGACCGTGGAAGGGATGGGAAGGCGGGAGGAAAGGGCGGGTCCTTGGGGGGATTGATTGGGGTGGATGTTGGAGTTGGAGTTGGAGTTGGGTTGGAGTGGTTTGTAATTTTGATTTTAGTTTTCACTGTAAGAATGTTGCTGGCCGATTTGATGTTGAATTTGGATTTGGATTGAGGTGTAGATTTTTTTGTGTTGGGTAGGATTGCGGAAGGAGGGAGGGAAGCGAATGATTAGGTTTTGTTTGTGTGTGGTTGAGTGTAATAGAGAAATGGTTGGATTTGATTATATTTGTTGAATCCTGGTGTTATAGTGAGTGATTTAAAATGTATTATCGAGTGTCCAGTAGATCGTAAGTAGAAAATCCTCTATCAAGCAGATATAAGTGATCAGATGTTAACAACCCTCATGCTCTATCGGTAGTTCTTCAAAGATAGCCGAGAATTAACTTCCTCGTCTCCTCGTAACGATAACAACGTTGTATTACTTACAGAGAAGTTTAACAATTGTGGTACCTTTCTTGGTATATCCATTCTTGGGGAGCGGGGGACACGGGATGAATATATGCGCACGTATCGAGTAGTATTTGCGGCCTGGCAGAACTGTGGCTGTTGGTCCGGTAATGGAGATGGAGGAAAGGAAGACAAGCTGAACGGGTTGCCGAGGAGCGAGGAGAGAAGATTGATGAGAGTATTGTGTAGAATCAGTAATGTCAGGGAGGTAGAGTTACATCTACGATACTCATGCGGCTTGGCAATACTTTTGACATTTTGTTTTGATGCTTTATACTCCATACATCAGATGATATATTTGAAAGAGGAATAGTCTTTACTCGGGCTTCCCGGCAGTGTGTGTAACAACAGTATTGATCAATGGTCTACTCGTGCATCGGACTATATAATTTTTGGGAAATGAAGATATAATAGATATAAATATTCTACACATATATATACCCAATTATAAAAAGATAAAAGAATAGAACGAATTCCTTCTTATGCCTCTACCTACCCTCCATTCAAAATTATCACATTCATATTCACAATCATGTTCCAATCAATTGATGATGAATTTAAAAGTGGGTGAGAGATTTCGCACTTTCTACGATACAATACTCTTATATATTATTAATGAATAAACCCGGCACTCTTCGGAATCAATCCCGACTCAAAAATTAATTTTTTGTTTTCTTACAGTCATACCAGCCCAGATTCGCCCCCATCTTCCCCAGTATTAATTTCCTCTCCAATTGGAGAAATCGTTGAATTGCTTGGAGCTAGGTAGATAAAAGTTTGGTTGGTCCCGTTGTCTTGTTATTCTTCTTAACTTCAATTGAGAAGGGAAAAGAAGAAAAACAAGAAAGTTGACCGTTGACCGTTGAGATTTGCTGGTCGTACCAATCCACCAATTGTAAGCTCGCTCACGATATCCTCAACCAAGAGGAAAAAAAAGAAAAATTATCCCAAGTCTGACAACTCGACAATTCAATTCCTGTTTGAGTGCGGAAACTCCAGGAAACTCCACAATTCCTCGCAGATCTTCCTCCGAATTTCGGTCACTCATTCAAAAGAAACTCATCCCAAGTACACAGTATCCATTGGACGAATTTAACACACTATTTGGAGAGTCGCAGATTCAAAGGGTCAAATCATGACAGGGACAGATCTCACAACGGCGAAGGAGGTGGTGAAGGAGTCATTGTTGGGCTCAACCGTGGCAGAGGATATTCAACTTTCCGCTCAATCGAAAGCTACATTTGAGAAGAATTCGCGGAAGGATGAGTCTGGAGCTGAGGATTATATGACTGAGGAAGATTTTGTAAATGCCATTGCGCCGGAAGGAGAAGACTATGTGAGTCAATGTTTTACGTTTATGCCATTCTTCCTTTTTCAGAGTCATAACTAATATCATTGATTTCCTTCCAGCATAAAATCAAACGAGAACAATATGCAATTCTATTCCGTGTAGCTGATCAAAGAAATACTGGTAAAATCAGTTTACATGATTGGGGAACTTTCGAAAATCTCCTTGCCAAACCCGATGCCGAATATGAAATCGCATTCCGTCTTTTCGATATCGAGCGAACCGGCACTGTCAAATATGATGATTTGAAGAAGTTATATGAATTGAACAAGGGGCCAGATTCCATACCTTTCGATTGGAGTTGCGAATGGGCTACTTTATACAGTGGAGGAAAGAAGAGAAGACATGATTTGACTTATCCACAATTCTCGCAGATGCTTCGAGGTTTACAAGGAGAGAGAATACGTCAAGCTTTCCACCATTTTGATAAAGATGGTGATGGATATATTGAACCAGAGGAGTTTCAAAGAATTATTCTCGAAACAGCAAAACACAAACTCTCGGATCATCTTCTCGAAAATTTACACACTCTCTGCAATATCTCGGCTGGTAGCAAGATTTCATATGCAAATGTTAGAGCATTCCAAAATATGATTAGGGAGATGGACTTGGTGGAGATGGTCATTAGACAGGCAACTGCAGAGAGCACCGATGGAAAGATTACCAGGACAGATTTCTTAAATGAAGCTGCAAGAATTACTAGATTTTCTCTCTTCACTCCTATGGAAGCCGATATTTTATTCCACTTTGCCAGTCTGGATAATCCTTCTGGCAGACTCGGATTATCTGATTTTGCAAAGGTCCTCGATGCCTCATGGCGCAATCCTTTGTACAATGCCTACGAAAAAAAGGCCAACGGCAATGGTGTGAAAACAGCTGGTGGAAGTGTTCTGCGTAGCGTTCTCGAATCTGTACATCATTTCGCATTGGGAAGTTTAGCAGGAGCATTTGGCGCATTTATGGTATACCCTATCGATCTTGTCAAAACTCGTATGCAAAATCAAAGATCTTCAAGAGTTGGAGAAATGTTGTACAAGAATTCTTGGGATTGTGCTAAGAAGGTTGTGCGCAATGAGGGGTTCAAGGGTTTATATTCTGGTGTTTTACCACAACTTGTTGGTGTTGCTCCCGAAAAGGCTATCAAATTGACAGTCAATGATCTTGTTCGTGGTCATTTCTCCTCCAAGGATGGCAAGATTCAACTTAGGCATGAAATTCTTGCTGGTGGTATGGCCGGTGGTTGTCAGGTGGTAAGCTAATATTTACCCCTCCGCCCCACTTTTGGAAGTATACTAAAATCACGCACAGGTCTTCACTAACCCCCTTGAGATCGTCAAAATTCGTCTACAAGTTCAGGGAGAAGTCGCTAAAAGTGTTGAAGGCACTCCTCGCCGCTCAGCTATGTGGATCGTTCGTAACCTTGGTCTTGTCGGTCTCTACAAAGGAGCATCAGCATGTCTCCTCCGTGATGTTCCTTTCTCCATGATTTATTTCCCTACATATAACCATTTGAAGCGCGACTTCTTTGGTGAAAGTCAGACCAAAAAATTGGGTGTCGTGCATTTATTGACTGCAGGTGCCATTGCGGGTATGCCAGCTGCTTATTTGACTACACCTTGTGATGTTATCAAAACCAGATTACAAGTTGAAGCCAGAAAGGGAGAATCTCAATATACATCTCTTCGTCATGCCGCAAAAACCATCCTGAAAGAAGAAGGATTCAAAGCATTCTTCAAGGGTGGACCGGCTCGTATTCTTAGATCTTCCCCACAATTCGGTTTCACCTTGGCTGCATATGAAGTCCTTCAAAATCTTCTTCCAATGCCAGGTCATGCCAAGGATGAGAGACCTCACGTTGGTGTAGCGGGTGCCGCCACATTGCCAGGTCAGGATGGACCACTTCATTATTTGAGAAGTAGAAATGCGTTGAAAATCATTTTAGATTTGGATCAGGAGTTTGGAAGAGTAAAGATCCCTGGAAAGGAAAAGTGGATGGGATTACCTAGAGCGATTGGTGGGAATGGTACTGGAAGTGCTTAGAGGGATAGACGGGATGAGAAAATTATACGGGTTGGGGGAATGGAGGGAGTGGAGTGAAAAATAAATAGAGAGAGGAAGACAGAAAGAAAGAAAGAGAAATTCATGACCTATTTTGCATGTATTTCAATTAATTGGATGGTGTCTGATTTGATTTGGGACCTGGGCGTGGGTTTAGACTGATGAATAGATATGATGGGATAGAATCGATAGAATAGAATCGATGAGGGTTGGGGGAGGTAGGTGGAGGAGGGGGAAGGGGGGTAGACTTAGATCTTTAGATCTTTAGATTGCTGTCTTTAGATTGCTGTCTTTGATGGATGGAGAGATAAAGGGAGGGAGAGGAGATGAGAGGATGGGAGAGGAGATGAGAGGATGGGAGAGGAGATGAGAGGATGGGAGAGGACAAGGGAGGGGAATAGAGAAGAGGTAACAAGATATAATACGCGATGATTTATATATTTATATATTTAGGCGGTTAGACGAAGGTAGATAGTTAGATAGATGGATATTTATTAAATGGTTACTTGGTTACATGGTTACATGGTTCAATATTTTCTTGGCTTCGTATTTTGGTTTGAGGGGGTTTTGATAGTGTGAGGGGGTGAGGGGGTGAGAGGGTGAGAGGGGTGGAGGATATATCTATCTAGTGGTAGCTTGTATTGAACGATTTCATCTTCTTATATTTTGGTTTTTGGGTTGTTGGGTTGTTGGGTTGTTGGGAATTGTGAGTATGTGAGTGTGAGTGTGTGGGAGTGTGAGAGTGTATGTATATTCTGCTGATTGTGAGAATGCGGATGTGATGGGTTTGGGAGTATGTGGTTGATGTGTTGGGCTAGGCTGGATTGGGTGGAGTTGTTGGTTGGGTAGTTGGTGGTTGGTTGTGTAGTGTTTTGGGAGAGGTAGAGGAGGTATGTGATATGTGATATGTGATATTGGATACTGTTGGGGTTCTTTGTTGATTTTAGGAGAGGGATTTATAAAAGGATTGAAAGGGGAAGCGAGGAGAGATGGGGGAGGGAAGGAAGGTATAAGATTGATGGAGAGTGGAATAGAGTGTGTGTACGAAGAAAGGAATGGGTGATTAGATAGATGAATGGATAGGTAGTTCAGACCTACTCGCTTTATGAGACACCTCGAGCTTGTGGAAAGTGCTGGGTGTTGTGTTGAGGTTTTGATTGAGCTTGAGGTTTTGGTGGTGAGTTTTGGTGGTGGGTGAGCGAGTGACTGAGTGAGGGGAAAGGGAAGTGAGAGGAATGAGAGAAATAGGTAAGATCTGATGCGGGGGTCTGGTTTGTGTGGTGCATAATCTTTCGAGAATAATAGCAAAAGATTGAGAAAGTGAAGAAAACAGAAGAGAGAATATAGGAGAGTATACAAATAGTACTCTTGGAGAGGAGCGTCAAATATAACTGCATGTGGTTGTATGTCTCTGGTAGACTCGAAAATTATGTGTGTGATTGTGTGGTTTTATCGATGGGGCAGTAAGCAGTGGCTGATGTGGTATCATGAAGGGAATTAGGGAATGTGTATCTAGGTAGCTAGGTAGGTAGGTGGTGCTTGCTGGATTGGGGGGTACTGGATAAACGAGGGGAGGGGGTGTGAGGAGTGGAGAGAAGACATCACGTGGTTGGTGCTTAGCTTGTTTTTGTTTGTGGTGTGTGTACTTTTTGTAAGATTAGTTTTGGGAGGTTTTGTTTTGTCGTTCATTCCAAGGCTTTTCTTGCGTGTTGAACTTTTCATGAATCATGAATTATTCATTCATTGTAACTGTGAGTACCTAGGTGGGTAATCGTACACCATGGATCTGGGAATGAAAAGAAAAGGGTTAAAGGATCTACTTGGGTGTTTGTTCATTCGTCTATTTATTCGGTGCGAAGATTTCATCAGGCGTTTCGTACCCTGTAAGCCACAGGCGCAGTTCCAGACACAATTACAAAAGTCCCATGCAGACCTCGGGAGTGAACAAAAGTACCATGTCAAGGTTCAAGTTACTGGGGTTGAGAACAAAAGCACCACGCATGAGGTGTCAGCAAGGCTGAAGGAACTTCTGGGACTTGGGTTGGTTGGGATATATAAAGTCTTGGATTTCACTGTTTTTTTCGATGGTGGTATTATTTGATTATCGTTTCAATTGCATCTTTACTCTCATTATGTCTTGATAGACTTGACGTATTTGAATTTATCTGTTCTACTGAGTTGGAAAGCTTGATGAAAAGGCCACCAATCTCGACTTTGGTTTCGATGGTGATGAAATGTCACAAGAATTCTCAGGGATTCTTTTAGAGGACTTCAATGCATCGGAAGGTTTCGATTACGGTATTGGACAATTGGAAACTAGCGCTCTCAATCCATCAGCATCATCTATACCTTCATGGCTCTTACCCTCCACCAGTTCCTATTCGTACACCCAGCCTTCATTGCCTTACAATGATACACCTACCGTGCCTTCGATTACCACAGCTCATGCGAATCCATCTATGGTTAAGCCTATGTTACCTCCATCGAAGGCCACTGCTAGACCTGCTCCCAGGGAACACTCTGCAGAAGAGTGGGAGCGTCAGAGAATAAATTTCACTCAACTCTACACGACTGAAGACAAGCACCTCAATGAGGTGACGAAAATTATGGAAAATGAATATGGATTCCGTGCAACGTGAGTTTTTCAGGGTTGGTGACTGCTACCTACAACAGCTAACTGATTCGAAACTGCAGGCCACGACAATACAAGCGACGGATTGAACAATGGAAGTTGATTAAGAACATTAAGGAAAATGACATGAGAGTTATTCTACGCAAAGACTTGAAGAGGAAACGCGAAGGAAAGAACAGCGAGTTCCGCATTAATGGCCGGGAAGTTGAACCAAAGAAGATTCAACGCTTCGCGCAGAGATATAAAGTAACCGAGGAGTCAATCCTTGAGTTTAATGTTGGTATGTTAATTCTGGAGGTGAGATTTCTCTTTGATACTGATTGCTCTAGAAACTCCTTGTTATATTGATTGCGATACCCCAGCACCGATAGTTGAAGATGAAGACATACAGCATCATATAATAGGAGAAGTCAACATACCAGACTCAATAATACTTTCTCCACCAGCGGTCGAGTCAGACCAAGACCGAGAGATTCGGATAGTCGACAATAGGAAAACAGTTCTGAATGAGTTCATTCGAAAACTTGGTGCTGCCATTCCCATTGATTCTACATTCGATCTCTCTGTCTTCAAGTATCCTCTTGGAATAGATGATCTTTCAGACAGGAAGTTTGAAAGATTGATCTGCTACGTAAGATAGAATACTCGCTATATCCAAGACTGTCAATGTTGATTTTCTTGATCACTAATGTTTATCGTAGAAACTTGACAAAGTCCATCTTTCAATGCTCGACGTCCCTTACTATTGGCTTCCCTGCACTAAATTGTTCACACAGTACCGTTTTTCTCGCTGGAATCGCCATTTTCCACTGGAGAGGGTACATCAATTTCCACGCAGTATTATTCTACTCGCATTCTATCTTTTCGAGAAGAACCATTCTGAAGATAATTCGAAACTGAGATCGACCATTCGATTGTACGAGAATTCCACTTTTCAGTACATGTTGTATTGTAGCATTATAAATTGCTGTTCAAAACGAGTCTCGGGAATTGAAGAATTTCCGCAATTTGATTATTTTCTTCGACACCCCCTACAAATCCCATCTTTCGTGGAGTTCCTGAATTTCGATCGTCATATGCTTCAAGCGACAGTTCAATTGATAAGATCTCTTGATGAGGATTTTTTTGTCACGAGAAAATTGTCTATCGATGCCTGGGATAATTTTGTGAGGACAACGGAAAAGGAATTGAAAGATTTGGATGATCTAGATCTGATTTCTTCTTTTTGTTAGGAGACCAAAGGCATTACTATCTAATAATATGGGAATACAGCAGGCTTGCATGAAGATATACGAATTATGTTATAATGATCATGCTATCGTTCTTTAAGGATGATGATCTTCGAATCATGGGGTGTTCAGCAAACAGATAATTTCGTGCAAAGGATCTGGATATCCATTGGGACGGAATTTCCGTCTTCGTGCAAAACGAAGGGCGGGTGGGATGGATGAAATTCATGAAGCACACATTCCAAAAAAAGCTCGTTTAATTACTGAGAAATTCGAACGTATGTTTTCACAATTTTCTTGGGGAGGTTTACATATTCATACTCATAGTATATGGAGTTGAAACAGGGAATGAAATTTCTTCGCTTGGTTGAATATATTTCAGAGAAATAAAGGTTGTTATAGTATTATGGCATCGAAGTTTGATATCTACAGGGAGGAGTTCTTTCTTGGAAGGATAGGAGTTGAGAACATGATCGTGATATCTATTTTCATTCGTGGTGTGAATCGGAATTTTTTAGTGGGTGGATGGAGAGAGAGGAGGGAGGGAAAGAAGAGGAGGGAATCCTGATCTATTTTTATTGCAATTGATTTTTGATTTCATTAAGGATACCAAGACTGAAATTTCTATTTTCGGCAATGCCATCCAGCATTTCTTTCCGCTCATCATCTTCGCTCCATCCTTTTCCTATACCATTCCCTCCCTCATGACTTCATCTTTTTCATCTGATAATAAAGCTCCGTGAGATCTTCTTCCTCTATATCACATCGGTGTTCTTTCTGATACTCATCACTAGGATAAAAAAAATTCCTTCAAGTTCGTGTTGCATTTTCAAAAATTTTTCTTCGTTTCATTTCCTTATACCGCTCGCTTCTTTTATAGCCCTTTCATACTGCCAGTTCGTCCTCATCTGACCACGAAGTACCATAACTCCTTGTGGACGGAGAATGAAAAATGATCTTTCTCTGCATTCGCAACCCATTTTATCCTCCGCACTTGTCAAAACCGCAGAGTCATACATCCCCATCTCCACCATTTCTCATCCACCCATCTACAAAGCCCCATAACTCCTCCCCCCTCTCCTCTCAATCGCATCCGTATCCCCACTCACATCTCTCACTCCCCTCTGAAACTCCAAATCTGCCTCCGCCAGCACATCCTCCTTTTTCCTTCCCGATGCCTCGCCTAGTTCCTCGGAACCCGTAGCTTGCGCTATTTGCGCCACTTTATCTTTTTCGGAATCGGGGACGGGCCCGAGACCGGCGAGTTGGACGCCGTCCGTAGGCCAGGGCTGCGAGGAGGGGAAGAGTGTGTATGGAGGGGATGAGGAGGGGGGAGGAGTAGTGGAGGTGGGGGGGTGAGGGAGGTGGGGGAGTTAGGGGATTGTGGGATAGAGGAGAGCCGACGTTTGGTTTCTTGGGCTTTTTGTTTTGAGAGCACGAATTCGGGGTCGGAGGGGTGGGGGGCAAATCCTACTTCTTTCTTTGGGGGGAAAGGGGTGGTAGTTTGAAGGGAGGTGGGTGATTTGGGGGAGGTTGAGGAGCTGGGGGTATTGTTTTTGTTTTTTAGTTGGGCGATGGGTGATGTGTCGCGGGGGTTTATACCGACGGTTTTGCGTAGGATGTAGAGAGTGCTCCAGTAGATGAAGAGGAGGGTGAGGAGGGAAACGAAAAAGAGACCGAGGAGGGTGGAGGTGAAGTCGAGGGCTTCTTGGAGTTGGGCGAGGACTTGAGGGAAAAGGAGGGGTGTTAGTTATTATTTGAGGAGGAGGTTCGAGGGTGGGAGGAAGTGATGTTTATAAAGGGAATTTGGGGGGTTTGAAGGGAAGGAAGGGAGATGAGAGGGGAGTAAGACATACGAGATATAGAAGTACCTGTAGGAGGAGGAATGGCAATCGGAGTGGCTATTTTTAGGAGAGAAGATGGTTCTGCGGATATGTGGGATGGGGAGAGGGTTTGAGAGGCTGTGTGTTGAGATGGAGGTGTGAGGGTTGTTGAGGCGGAGGAGATTGATGGTTGTGAGAGTGAGGGTGATGGCGAAGCTGAAGGTGTTGAGATTGGAATGAGAGAGGAAGAGATGATTGGAGTTGAAGAGGGAGGGGAAGAGACGAGTGGAGTTGAGGCAGAGATGACTGTGCTAGAAGAAGAAGAGATTGGTGCTGAGGAAATAGTAGATGTGGTGGTTGAGGAGGAAGAGACGATAGGCGCAGAGGAGACAGTGGTCGTTGTAGTCGAGACGGACATCTTTAGATCTTAATGTAAATCCTATGAGTACGATGATCACTGGGTGAAAGATTAATATTTGAAAACTTTAGTTGAAAAGAATAATCAATCAGACAAGTTGAGTGTTTTTAAGTAATAACTCCTCACTTCAATCAATCATCCGAAAAGTTTGGAAATAAGTGAATCAACTCCACCCTCACATAAACTGATCCAAAGTGAAGTAAAATCCCCACAACTCAAAGAAAGTACTACGCTAGGTACATACAACAGAAATGGAGAAAAGAATAACACAAAAACAAACGGCTAGGCTCAATGCGGTGATCCGTTACCGATAGAAGAAACGACAAAGGAAAGATATCATGTGGGAATCTGATGTGGGATTTCTTTGAGACGGATATGATGTGTGAGGATTTGTTGGTAGGGTTAGTTGACATTTGAAAGAGCATGGGGGAGGGTGTGGATGGAGTTCTAGATTCTTCTAGGTATGCCAAGGGGTTGGGTAGATGTGCAACAAGAGTTTTTGGGGTTGGGAGGGGTTATTAGGTGAATTTGGGATGTTGTGAAGACCCTAATAGTTAGGTACTTACTAATTAGGTCATGTAGATGTGAGGATTTTTGATTTTTGATTATCGATTTTAATTCATGTGCTTGTGAGACTATGCCAAGAAATGAGGTCTTCCAACTTGCTGTGTTCACACTTTTGATTGCAATTTCATCCACTTTCTTGTATTTTCACTCTCTTCATTCCCTGGTATCCATGTCCTCAAACCTAGGGAATTCCTCCACCTCTCCATTTCTCAATAAAATCTTCGCTGCCTCTTTCGCTTTCATTTGTTCCTCTTCGTCCCAGTATCCCGCCCTTTTCCCATAATCTGCTTGATTTTCCAATTTCTCAAGTGATTCTTGGAGTTCAATGGGTGATTGAATAATCACCTCATCTTCTATCCATCCTTCAATCTCTTGATTTCCATCTCCTGATTCTTTGCCTTTTGATGTTTTGGAGAATTTGTCTTCTGGTTTGGACTTGGAGGATGACGAGTGCCTCTTCTCATCTTCAGTTAAATCAATTCCATAATCCATTTTTCCGACTCCCCTCTTCCAGGCCACTCGTCGCACTGCTTCGCGCATTTGGGCTCGCTCTCGCTCACCTACTTCGTTGCGTTCGCGGAGTCGCTCGGTTCGTGCTTCGGCGTATTTGCGGCGGAGCTGGCGGCGTTCTTCGTAGATTATGCCGGCTTTATGTTTTACGACGGAGGGAAATTGGTTGTACAGGTAGGATAGGAGTTGGGTTAGATGGGTAATGGAGGAGAGGTAACGGATGCTGTGGAGGAAGTAGATTGTTATGAGGAGAGCTAGGTAGAAAAAAACGGCGGAGAGTTGAATGAGGGCGTGGATTAGGGCGGAGAAAGGAGAGCGGAGAAAGCTGCTAAGCATGGTGGTGACGGGCATAGAGTTAGCGGTGGTGTTGGGGGGTTGGCGATGACGAAGATCTATGTTTATGTGAATTGGGTTGCGAGCTGAGATGAACGAAGCTTCGTAGATGGTCTCGGGGTGGAGATAGGATGTCATGGATTGTTGGGATGTCGAGTGAAGCTGGTAAAAAGTATGATTCTTTAAAAGTATATGAAGCATGTAGCACCTGACTGATAGTATAAGAAATATTATGGTAAGTCCCGACGATATTCGAACGCTTCTCAGCAAGATACAAACAAAGCAGTTTAGATATATCGTCCGCTAAGACAAGAAGCTTGAGAGCCTAATCAGGTTGATACACAGGTACAAGTAGACGCCCGATCCAAGATCAATTGAACCCTTTCTCATCAATGATATATAACCTCAATAATCGAATCATCAAGTATGTTTGCAGATAAAGGAATAAATTGCTGCATCCAGTCACAGGACTTCCTGCCTCAAATGTTCCGAAAGCAGAATGGTGGTTTTGGGTTCTTCATTGTTCGCAGCTTTGCGATAAACATAAGAGGAAGCTTTTGCTAGATTAGTCTAGGGTCTGAATCATTACTGATCCATTTTTGGGTGATATTCAATCTTGTGGTCTGATATCTCTTTTATGACTTTGTAAGAAGCAAACGAAAGGGGAGGAAACGAAGTCGATGCTTACATAAGCTGCCATCAATTAATTATTCTGCCCAAAGCGGTATCATTCCACGTGACAATGTCTCGAAAACAGTTTTGTTACACATCTGAAAAAAAACGTCGGATTGACAAGTTACCAAACCAGACACTACGATATTTACTGAGGCCGATTTGAATTATTTGGCACAAACCCTAAAAATAGAATTCTGTTTTATGTAAAAAAAATTTCTATAATTTGTATAGTGTGTATATAGAAATCTTAAAAAAAATAATTATATTGTATAAATTGTATTTCTTTTATATATTATTATAGCAATCAATAATAGTATATCTTTATTTTTTGAATATAATAATAATGATAATAATATTATTATATTTTAAATTTTAATATAAAAATAGATTTTACTTTTTATTATTCTTGTAGAGCTTATGTAATCCCTTTAGTGTATATAATTTTAAAATAAATAAATATACTTAATATAAACAAATAATTAAATTTATCAATCATTTTATAAAAAATCTTTGAATTAATTTCGAAATACTAGTATTAAATTATACAATCGATTCAATAAAATAGTTTCTGATTTTGTTTCTATTAATAATCCTTTTTCTTATTAATCTATTCCTTTATTCTCAAATTTGGAGAATAGAGATAACTCAATAAAGCCTATATTCTTCAAATCAATTTTTGTTGATAGAAATCGATATATTAATTACTTTCTTAGGTTTGTATAATATCTTCTATTTATTTTTGATATACTATTTATTAATCTTTTTTTAATTAAAGTATTATTTTATATATATAAATTATTTAAAGCTTTTTGAGAAAAAGATTTAGTATAAAGTATAGTTTTGGAATAAAAACGGTTTAGATAAGCTTTTATATAATATTCGTATTATTGAAATATTAATTATTCAATCTCGATATATATACAATTCTATAGTATTTATTTATTATTTATTAATCTCTTTTTTAGAAATACTATAAAATAATATCCCTATTAAAAGTATATTAAATAAAAGAATATTTTGTAGATTGTATAAAGCTAGAAAGATGGTTTCGAGATATATATACAAATTATAAAAAATAAGATAAAAGTGGAATATATATTATATATAATACAAATCCTAATAAGTTTATAGTACTATCGGAGATACCTAAAGTGAGTATAATAATATGCTCTAGAAAATATATAACTCACTTTGAATTATATTAATCTATTAATAACTACAAAAAATAAGTAATTAAAATTAATAACAAGAAATAATATAATATATTGAAAATAGGGATAATCAATATATATTTGTAGATAAGCTTTTATTAATAATATTAATATCTTTTGTTTTGAATTATTTATTACTAATATCTTATTAATATATATATTATATATATCGAATATAAAAATTAAAAAATTTTTCTAAGAAAAGATTAAAACCAGTTTAAATAAAAGTATAAGGAATATAAACCTTTTTCCTTATATTCATTCAAAAAATAATAAAATTTGATTATAATTATTATTTAAATATATAGAATATTGATTATACAAAACAAGAAATCAGATAATTATAATAAATAATTTTAAATTAATAAAGAAAAAGAGTATTCAAATTTCGTTTTATTTATATCTATTTTTCCTTATTAGTTTTTCTATTAATTAAATCTTTATAAAAATTATATTTAAATAGATTATTTTTAGATTTAATATATTATAATATTTGAGATATTAAAATATTATTTATAATATCAATTAGATTATTTTGAAAAAAAGATTGAGAAAATTCGAGTTTATTAAAGAAAGGGTTTTTATTATTAATAAGCAAAGTATTAATAATTTATATATTCTTTATACCAATTAGAATATTTAATTAATTAATTAGTAATATATAATTTATTAATAAAAATAATATAATTGAAGATATTACTTTTTAAGATATTATTATTAAATATAGATTCAGATATACCTTTAGATATATTCTGAATTATTTAAATATTATCTACTTTAGATATACTCCCCTCTAAAGGAATTATTTTAATTTTTTTCTTTAAATATTTTTTTATTGATTTAATTTTAATTTTGATATTATTAATAGATTCTTTTTGATTAAAAAATAAAAAGATACTCGGATTTTAATATTAATCTTTTTAAACTATTTGACTTGAATTTAATTAAAAAATCTAAATTAAAAGATTATTTAATTATATAAAAACTCTTATTTATTTTTTAGAAGTTATAATTAATAATATCTTGTTTTATTAAAAAAAATATAAAATAAAAATCCTTTTTTTCTTTAAAAATCTTTTTATTTTCTAAAAATTTATATAATATATTAATATTTTAAAAAGTGTAATTTGTAAATATCTTACACCCAGCTAGAATTATTAATAAATCATTGAATTGAATCTTTTCAGAATTATTAATAAAATATTGATATTTATTAGATTTTTATAATTATATTTGATAAGTATTTCTAATAAATAAAAAAAGCATTTTGTTTTATAATTAGATATATAAACTATTAAACAAATAATTATTGAAAATTGATATGAATTTATCTATATATTTATTAGTTTTTATATAATTCAATTCTTTAATTAATTTAAAAAAAAAAAAGAACTATAAAAAAAATAAAAAAGTATAACTAACCTATTAATATATACTTTAAAAGTATTTTAAGATTATTTTTTATAGTATTAAGATTAGAATAAAGATATATAATCTTAATTTAAAATATATTAATAATAAATTTAATATTAGTAAATTAAAGAATATTCTTTTCATTTTTGAATTTTAAGTCTAATTTTTTCATTAAATTTATATTTTTAAAGTATATAATATTATTTCCAATATATAGCCCCTTTTTTTTTATTACTTTCTCTCTTTTTTATTAATTTATATATTTAATTATCTATTTATTTAACCATATACTATTTCGAGGTATATTTATTATATATTCCAATAATAAAATAACTTCTTATTGATTATTTTTGTTTTTTATATAAAATTTAAAAGAAATAGGAATTGAATTTGATATAAAAAAAATATTAAAAAAGATTAATATAACCTTGATATCAATATTTGGATTGCTTGTATTATAATAAACACAGAAACTAATAAATATATAATGTTTTTTCTTATTAATAAAACAAAAAGGTATCCATTTAGAATCTTGATTTGAAAGTTGATTTATTGTGAATATATAAAAGATAAATAAAATAATTAATTGTATAAATAATAATAAAAAGAGAAATATAAAATATATAAATAAATCAAACCTTTAAGCCTAGATTAGTTTAACTTCGATTTGATATTCCATCATCCCCAATCTCAATTTTAGATTTATTTTTAATTAAATAATCTATATTCTTATTTAAAGCAATCTCTTTCTTATATTGCCTTCAAGTTTATATAAAAACTAGATTATTATATATCATCTCACTTACAGCTTCTCCTCTTTTTATTACTCTATCATAACCATTTTTAGATATTAAAGATTTATATAAAAATGATTTTTGATTTAAATCAATATATCTTTAAAGATATTTATATAAAAAGTAATATACTAATACATATATAAATTCTTCTTGCTTTGTTTTATTACTTAATTTTATAATATTCAAATTATATCCAATACTCTAAACAAAATCCTTACAAAACTTAATAATATCTAAAAAAAAATATTTATTAATATCTTTAAAATTAATTAAATATACAATTCATAATATAATAGATAATATATTTCAAATTTCACAATTTTCTAAAAGCTTTTTACAAAACTTAAATAATACCGCTTTTCCTTTATTTATATACTCCCCTTAAAGATATTAATATAATATAAAAGGTTTATCCACAATATAATAAAACTAATTTTTATTCTTTTAAATATTATAATTATTCCAAATATTCACATATTCACCTATTTCTTCTCTTATCCATTTAATATAAATTATAAAAATTATAATCTAATCCCTATATTGATTTTTATAAAATTATTTATTTTATATCAATTTATTAAAATAATTCTAGATAATATTAGTAATTGATTATATAATAAATAAAAAAACAAAAAAATTAAAAAAAAATTAAATTAAATATAGTGAATCAAGAAAATTTTTTAAATATTTTTATAAAAAAGATAAAGAATAAGAATATATATTTGTTATTGATATAATAATAACATTTAGAGCTTTTATCATTAACTTTCAATATATTGATTTTTAATATTCTTTTCAAATTAAAAGTAGTCTTTAATTTCTTTTATACTTTTATCAATTTTATAAAAAAATGTAAAATAAACTTTAATTATAAAAAAAAGCTTTATTTCTCTATCTGCTTTAAAAAACCTTAGTATAATATTACTTTTAGAGTATTATATTAGATATTGATATATAACTAATCTAAAATATCTATTAGCTATCCCTATATATACTTATATAATAAATTATAAATATATATCAATATATACATAAATCTCAATCCCAATAATAATAAATTTATTATATTCATCAATAAACCAAAAAAAAGTTTGAATCAAAAACTCGATACTCCCTATAAATAGATTGAAGTTTTTTAGTATATTAGAAAATCCCTTTAGAATCTATAACTTATAATATATCGAATAATATATTCCTAAAATAAATATAAAATATTAATATAAAAACACTTTAAAGTTTTAAATAAAAAAAATAGTATTATATTTTGAAATAAACTCCCTCTTTTTTCGAAAATAAATATACAACAATCTCCTACTATAACCTTAAATATACTCTAATTTGATATTATTTCTTAGAATATTAAAAAATCATTAATTTTATTTATATTGTTTTTCGAATATAAGCTTTTTTTTAAATCCTAATAATAAATATATACTTTTAATATAATTTATAAAAATATTATATCCTTCAACTCTAAAAGCTACTTCCATCTCTTAATCACTAAATAATAAAATAAAAAATATTATAATTTGACTCCTTATTATAAAATTATTATAATCAATTCTAGACTTTCGAATTAATCCCCAAATATTAAAATACTTGCCTATAATTCTAACTATAATTTCAATATCAAATTCAAAAAAAAGTAACTATTTGATATTATTAATATTATACTCATCATTATACTATTTACAGATTAACTCCTTATATTGAATTAATACAAATTGAAATCGAATCATTATAATTACACAAATAGAATTGAATATAATAAACAAGAAAAAATAAAAGAAAATCCAAAGTTTATAAAAAAATAATATATTAGATTTAATAAAGTCTAAAAAAGGGAAAGGTAGGGAATTATATAAATAACACAGTAACAGATAATATTGATTCTTATTCACACGCACCTAAATACTAAATACGTTTTTAGTTTAGGCAGAATTCTATTTTTGGGGTTTATGCTAAATGATTCAAATCGGCCTCAGTATATTCTTAGCATACTTTTGGGAAATATTTTGGCAATTGAGTCGACCGGGAATAAAAACACTAGCTTGGTTTTATTTCCGGTCCGTGGAAATTGTAAATTATATTTTTGACTGCCTCGGTATTTCGTGTTAATACAGACGTCTCTTGTCAGCATTATCAAAGTTGTTTGACTTTAGTTGACTATTATTTCAAAATCATTTGACTTACACTTAAGGATGCTGTTGTATTGATACATTATGCTACTTGCTCTGGCAGAAGAACTTTAAATATGGGTAGGTAAATGCATGTCATGTGTCGTGTTGGGCTTTCGCCGTCTCTCTGCGATTGGGGAACTGGATGAACTACCATAGTAAGGCTGAGTGCCCCATACCTAAGATTATGTCCACAACTTCATCAACTAACAATCTGAAAGTAGAGCCCACTGACTGGGCGAGATGTCGGCGTCTTACCGATGCCATTGCAGTCTTTCCCACGTCACTGCCTTCTAGCGCTATCGAAGAACCAAAAACACACAAATCGGTTGCAACCCCAGTCTTTGAAACAAGCTGGTATTCAAACGCAAATAATCTGCGTGGTGTAGACTATGGCATAGCATACCAACAGAAAGTGATGTAGATGTTGCTCGTGGCAAATAGGCTTGGAAAAATTACGGATAGAACTGATCGGTATCAGTTCGCTCTCATAATCTCATAATCTCTGTTCATTCGGGATGTGGAATATCGTTGCCATCCGTATGGTCCACTTCCTTCCAAGAGACAATTAGATCATTATTACAGAACCAACTTACCTTACTCTGCTACATTCTTCTGAGGACATGGGAACTCGCTTGAACCTTACATATCAAGCCCAATGTACCAGAATATCATCATTACATGCTATATTGCTTTGAGGAGCAGGTCGTTGCAAGACCCATGGAAGTATAAGACTTCCTGATTTGCCTCCAATATGTTATTCATGACATTTATAATAACAATTCTAGGTTCGAATTCTTGGTATGAGAGTTTGGTAGTTATTTTAGCAAGAATCCTGGGGAATAGATGCTCAGTTGTTTCGATCCTTTGTACAAATTTTCCCCCTTTTATCCTTCAAAACAGCAGCTTTTACTGACAAATAATAGGAAGAGATTCTTCGTATTAATTCCAGAATCCTTAAAAACTGTCGATTCTGGAGAACACATCTTCAGAGACTGAACTACGAGAAGAAGATGGTGAATGGTTGGAAAAGAGATTGGAAAAACCATCACTCATTACTATCAGAGGACAAAAGTTGTGATTGCCATATATCAGTTTGTCACATAGGCTGTCAAGAACTTCATGCTTTATGTCAAACAAAAATCTCCCAAGACTTCTTATCTTGAGTCAGATGTGCTGTTGATGATATATCTGCAAACTTTGATCAGATGAAGCAATCATCTTCCAGCGAATTCAATTAGAACCTTCATGTTGGTATTTTGTTGATCAGTGCATGTCACAAGACTCTGGTTGGATATCTAGGTACTAGGAAATCAAACGTCTATTTCAGGTTATTTGAAGTTAATATTTTACCAGTGAATTTGATTTACAAATTATAACCCTCTCGGCTAGTTCGGAAGTTCTTTATTTTCCACACAACCTTCGAAGCTTTTCTCTTTCGATTATTCATTTGTCACACAACTCTAACAGAGCTCTTTTCACTGCATCTTGATCCTCGCAGGTAAGTTTGTTCGGGTTATCAATGCTAGACAAGCACAAGCAAAAGTGGCTAACACATACTTTGACAGTTTACAATGGAACCCAAATCAAATCAAGTTGCTGACTCCATAGCCACAGCTTCGAGCAGTAATATTCCGACAACTACAAACTCAACTGCCAGTCCTCATCATCAAGTTAAATTAAACCTCAAAAATTACCAGGCCGCTGTCAGCACAAATGCAGGCTGCCTAACGCAAGCTGTTTCCGATACAAGTCATGCCTCGTATCTTGCAAAATCAATAAAAAGTACTCCTACAAATACAATCTCATCACCATCCACTGGTAGTTCATACTTCGAAAAGCTCCCCCAGGAGGCGCGCGACATGATCTACGAGCTCTTGCTGGTGAATCCCGTTCTTGGCAAGAGCTGCAGTGTGGCCGATCGTACTAGTTCGCCCAGAAGAACTCCACCACACGGACAAAGCCAACCACCGCTGAAGTATGAACTTGAACCCCAAGTTCTTCGGGTTTGCCGTGCAATATACCTAGAAGCATCGCAAGTGCTTTACGAATCAAATACTTTCTACATTGCTTGCTGCAGATATGAGATCTCGCAAGATTGTCGCCCAAGCCGATTTGCATTTAATAGAGGCATAGAAATGACACCCATTACAAGACATTGTAACAGATTGAGTCACGGTAAACTTTTCCTATTTGACCATCCAGCAGTGGCAAAAGTTAAACGCTGGAGAGTTATTGTCAGTTCATTCATCGATCCGGATATATTGGGAGGGTGGCATGAAAGGAGGACTTGGTCGATGGAAAACTTTTGTCAAGCCATCGCTCAGTCCCCATCCATATCTCTCGAGATTGCACTAGCACCGATTGGTCTGGAGAAGTGTGGGGAAACACTTTGGTTCCGAGACGAGGTCATCTATCAAAATATGAAGAATATGCTCATACCTTTACAAATGCTACGTGGGGTCAAAAAGCTTCAATTCCGAGATGCAAGTTGGGAGGAATTACCAGATGTTTACCCATACAATAGTTTCTCGGGCAAGGACTGTCGATCTATCATCCCTTCCTCCAATTCAAGGAAACAACTCAGATCAATTATGATGGGAGACTCTGTGGTAGAGCTCTCTCGTGGAATGTATCTTCGACTCGTGCGTTATGCACAGGCGTTTGAGACAGTTGATACTTTCAGGTCTGAAATGCGCCACTCATCTACTGGCAGCGTAGGAAGATATCTGATGCACTATGGATTGTGTTCTGGCAGCAATAGATGGATGCACAGGCCCCACGATCCAACTACTCAGGTGTCACATCCCGTAGAAAATGGTCTTAGGCGTGCGGAGACTCTTTCGTCCTCACAATACAATCCGAGAGCATTCAAATTAGAACGAGCCAGCATTGTGAAATATTTAGAACCACAATATCAGAGGGCAAAGTTGGCATGTTTTAACATTACGGAGTTCATCAAGTTCGAAAAGAGAAGGGATAGAATGCTTTCGCCCAAACTTACTCGAGATTGGCACTCTCCCACGATTGCAGCAGAGGCTATGCTACTGCTGGAAAGATATGAACAAGGACTTCGAAGAGATTTTCCATACATCGATCAAATCAAACATCGAGCCAATCTTCGAAAGAACACTTCGTTTGATAACAATCTTCCCCGAAACGTCCTCATGAGACAGACTTCCGATGCTTTTGATGCGATGAATTGGGCCTTCTTCACAAATTGTTTCAAAAAAATGGTAGATGATCTGGATAAACAATTTATGGAAATGAGAAGGGCGAGGAAAGAGATTTTTGAAGACGATAAAACGTTAAATGTTGGGTGTGACATTGAGTTGGATTCGAGGCTCTGCATTGAAATGGTTGATTGGACAAAAGATGAACCGAGATTTGGACCAGTTTCTAACGACCCGGAGTGGAATGGCTCGGAATATGGTATGGATGAGTGAGTGGAGTGGTGGAGGTTGGGGATGATTGGGATTGGGATTGGGCGATGTTGGAGCTGGGTTTTGTTGCAAAGGCTGTGATGGGGTGGACTGGGTAACATGAATGGAATGGGAAATGGACCGATGGATTAAGGATAATGATATTGAAGTGGTTGATACGCAGCTTGTAAATAGATACCCAAGACGAGCATTGTGAAGGAACGCAAGTAGTCATGATGATAATGCTTCGGCATCATTCATATTTTGTACTGCTAATGTCTTCATGCCGCTTGGCGATAATAAAATCTCTTCTCTCTTTTCAGCACAATGTCTACCTAGGTAGCTGTGATATATTGCTATCTTGATTGTGTTCATGAATTTATTGCAGTGGCATTCTAATTACCAGAAAACTTTCTCTTTCTTAGATGGGTATAGTTATAGTTGACATATTAGTCCCTCATAAACATCAAGCATCGGATCAAAACTTCTCACTGATTTTCCTACAGTACTTCACAATGGAGAAATACTCGAACGAAAATTTCTTTCCCATTATTGAATCTTCAAGCCGTGGCCGCTCAACAAAAATTCAGGTGTTCATCAACGAAGATGAAAGCGCGATTATTTCAAAACAGGAAGAATCATATATTCTCCCCGCAAATATACAAAGATGACCCCATAGATTTTACGTGATGCTTGATATCCTTACTATCTCAGCTGTCGCAGAAAAAGCAAGAATCAACAAACTTAAGAAACTCTACGTAAAGATTGAATCGCAATCGATTGCTTAATTATCTAGACAGAAGGAATAGCAGACTAGTGAACCTCACGATCAGTAACCGAAGAACCACAACCCACAAATACAAATCGCAGGAAGACCTTTCGTTAACGTCAACGTATTCAATGTAAAGATTAAGAATCCTAGAATAGCATGAGGAATGTAGATCTAGATCTTAGATCGAGCCAAGACCGGGTATATATTTGCCATCGACCGATTGAAGGAATGCAGGGAAGGGGAAGCAAATAACGAGTTCTTCGAAAGCTTGTTAAGAATGGTGCATGTGGAGTTGAGGATGTGAAGTATGAGATGACGTGGAAATGTTGGGTGTATTTTGACTTTATGTAACTTATAAGTCTTGTCAGGTTGAAGTTTACGATTGTAGATTTGGGAGTGGAGGGACTTTGAGAATGGAGCTTGTTAAGAATGGATCGATGAATAGAGGTGATGATAGTATCGTGTATTTAACCTGTGTTTGATTGCTAGCTAGATCACACCAATGAGTAAATATTGTTGATCCAACAATTGCAAATCAGATGGAAGTGCGAGAACTAAAATATATCACCTTGCCAGAATTTAAACATCTGGAAATGATTTTCCCTTGCTATCTTGACCATTGGCCCCATCATCATCCGAGCTACCAGAAGCACTCGAACCATCATCATCCGAAATTACTGACGCACTAGAACCATCTAATATTCCACCCAAAGTATTTCCAAATCCGTTGATTAACTCAGATATATCCGGGACGCTACAATGTTGTCTATAACATTGAAGTTGATACTGCACTGGGAGTGAAGCACAGAATAATTTAAAACATTCTTTTTGGAAGCATTCTTCCTGATTTTCTGGGGCTGAGGTTGCACATGCACCCTCTAGAGTTTGAAGTACAGGAAGTTCGGCGCCAAGAGAGTTATGGCCATCGCAATGTGCTTTATAGCATTGTAGTTGATAGTCCAGTGGTAAAGTACCGCACGAATAACCGATAGGACCCGACATTAAACAATTATTACGGTAACATTCGAGCTGATTTTCGGGGGCTACGTTGATACAGCCTCTATCTAACCCAGGACTCTGCTGAGCAGCATTAGGTGTTTGTTGAGCAGGGCTGGGAGTTTCTGGAACGGAATTCGGCGTTTGTAGAGCCGGTTCTGATGCAAGAGGAGTGTAAACTTCATGGCAGCGCTTTTTGTAACAATCAATTTGATATTGTGGAGGCAATGAGGCGCATGAGAATCCTGGAGGTCCAGGCATAGGGCAATTGTGGTAAAAGCATTCTAACTCATATTCTGGCGCTACTCCAGCACAATCGCTTCCTGCACTGGCACCCACGGGAGATTGAAGTGCTATCTCAACGGTGGTTGTCGTTTCAGGCTTTGGATCGCATTTTGATTTGTAACATGCTAGCTGATAATCTGGTGGGTAAGAAGCACATGATGATCCAGGAGGACCAGCAGGTTCGTGACAATTTTCCTTATAGCACTGTAGTTGATATTGAGGTGCCACCCCATGACATCCACCAATGAGAGGCGGCGAAGTTTGTTGAGTAACAGGTTGACTAGTTGTGACTCGAGTAGCTAGCTCGGGACATTTTGACTTGTAGCATTCGAGCTGATTTGCAGGAGGATAAGAGGCACAAGAGGACCCGAGTGGTCCATTTGTTGGTTGAGGGCATTGATCTTTGTGACATTGTAATTGATATTCCGGAGCAACTCCAGCGCATCCTCCGACTAGAAGAGCATTGGCTGCTACGGAAGTAGTCACTGCCGCGGTCATGGAAGTCTGCGCTTGAAAAGCCAAAGCCATCGAGGCTTGAATGATATTAGATGCCTTCATCTTGAGTGGAAATGAATTCGATAGATCTTGATGATAGGTTATGTGAAAAGAAACCTTGTTAAATATATGAAGAAGAGATCATATAAAGTATAAATTTATGAAAAATAAGGAGGTCTTTAAGAATTCCGTTGACCAGTATTCAAGAATGACATTCGACTTTGAACGCCAAGGAATGTAATCTTTGAAACATATCTCTTCAAAACACAACGGCCACATATTTTCACTTGACAGTGAGTTAGTGCACAGGGGATTTCCCGTCTAATTCAGGTAGGGAGGGTTAAAAGGGAGAGGTTACGTGAATGACCAGAATCAAACTCATGCTCAATGTTTTAGAAGTGAACGAGGGATCTATCTGGTTTAGGATTTTTGAAAGCTGTGAGCAATGCAGAAGTGATTGTGGGCTTTACAACGAACTACTTGAGTCCTCCAACAATTGTACTTGAATGAATCTCAGATAGCAATGCGAGGAAGTACTCACTTCCATGGTAGGGTAACGGTGCAACAGGTTATGTGATGATTCTCAACCACGATTTGTTGAGGAATGTGCCATCTTGTCATTTTCATTGTGAGTTCACAAATCTTCGTAGACTGAACCCCAAAAGACCCACGACATTTAGATTGGGCTACACTCATAAAATGATATTGGAGATCTGCCATTTTGGTCAGAGCGAATAATATTGGTGCCTGTATGATTTCTGCCATATTAATGCAGCGGGCTTTTGATCAGGATCGACTCCTCTGTCTTCAGATGTATCGAACCCGGATGACAATCACAAAAAACTCACGAACCACACTCTCTATTACTCCTTGAAGCAGTATCATCGCGATATATGGTGCATACGAGAAGAATCTCGATAATGGCGATGGTTTGAGTCGTGTCGAGGTTGAGAGTGGCACGTGAGTGAGAAGAGATTGCATGAGCTGTGATTGAAGGCTGCTGACTAATGCTCACAGTCCGCAAGGATAGCCCATGCGTCACTGGGATTAGAAAAAAGTCGAGCCCCACCAACGTTACAATTAAACCTTTTTGAATAATATTCGAAGCTTCAAAAATATATGTCGCAATCATAAAATTTTGGTATCATATGGTTGCTCTTTAGATCTACATCATTTATCCTCATAATTCCTCATAGATATATTAAATCTAATGCGTTGACAACGATAATCTTATACTCTCTCCATTCAGATCAATAAAACGACAAAATATGCCACCAAAAGCAGAGAGGGGAGCTACCTCGCGGGGTAGACCTCGAGGTAGAGGACGAGGAAGAGGAAGAGGAATCGCAATTGAAGAGATTGAGACCCCAGAACTTAGAGGTGTTCTTGATGAATCTTCTCAACCTAGTCAATCTCCTGCGCCAATTGCACCAATTGCGCCGATGGCACCAATGACACAATCGACTGCTACCATCGTTCCAAAAATCGAACCCAGTGACGATGCATTCGATCCAAATACCTCACCTGCAATGACACCTGCCGAAACACCTGCTGGTACCCCTGCGCCAACAGCTGCGACTACCTCTGCGAGACTTCCATCAAGAACAGAAAGTGCGAGTGCAAGAGGACGCGGCGGGGCAAGTACAAGGGCGCGAGGTGAAGCTACTACTGGAAGAGCCAGGTTTAAGCCCAAAAATATTAGAAGAGATCAAGCAGATAGAGATAGATTAGAACAAGAAGAGAGGGATAGACTCGCGGCAAACCAGGCACAAGCAGAAAAGGAAGCTCGCAGGTCCCAGAGAGGAAGAGGTCACATTGGAAGAGGTAGAGGAGATGCGATGGGACAAAACCGTGGCGCAGGAAGGGGAGCTCCAATCTCAAGTGCTACTGGTATTTTTAGTGTTGCGCCGGCAGCAATGGGTAAGTCAATCGCTAATTGCTTGCCAACTCTACTAATTTCTATTTACAGACAGAAAGGGTGGCATGGATGGCTTTGCAATTGCAAACACAAGAGGCGGTGGTGGCGGTGGTGGTGGTGGCGGCGGATTCGGAGGAGGAGGAGGTGGTGGCGGCGGTGGTGGAGGAAGTGGTGGTTATGGAGGTTCTGGATCAGGAAATGGAGGGGGAGTAAATGTGCTGTCAGCCGAAAACATGGCCACTTTCAATCCAGAATATCCCGACGACGACGGACAAGCGAGGAAAGTCAATATCGAAATGATCAATCTGGTTGACGATGATGATGAAATGGTGGGCTCTGGCAGAGGCGGGAATGGTGGTTTCAAATCACGATCTCTCGCACCGATCCGGATCAAGCGTGAAGAACATAAGGAACGTTCCAATATGATGGTTAGTGATCCAGAACTTGCAGAGATAGCTAAGAAGCAAGCCGATGAAGTGGAGGATATTCATTCTGGCGAAGATGTCGAGATGACGACAGATGGGACAACAACAACGGATGAGCCAAGGACGAAAGGAGAACCTGGGCTTGAATCTCCAACTATGTCGAAATTTCCGGAGTTTAAAGCACCATCTTCCCCCGAAGACAAAAAGCATCCTAAGAGGGAGCCTATTTCACCACAACAATCCAAGGTACGACGTAGCAGAAAGAAGGATAAAATGCCAGTAATACAAACGGAAGAGGATAAGTTCGAGTATGAACGTTATCTTGAGGATGTTGACATCCTTGCTGAGGAACTTCGTCTATTGAGAGGAACAGTGGATACAACAGCTAAGGATAAAGGAAAAGGAAAGGCTGTCGATGTTGATGGAGATGTTGGAATGGATGGAGAGCAGGAACAAGGTGAAGCTCAACCAGAAGCCAGTCATGCAGATGGTCGAATCTATCTTTTCCAATTCCCACCTGTCCTACCTCGACTATTTAATCCTCAAGTCGAAAACTCGGATGATGTTGTCGTCACTCAATCTTCGGAACAAATTGATCTTACCGATGATAAAGAGAAAGGGATCAAAAAGGAATCGGAAGAAGTTATCATCAAGACTGAACCCAATCTTGCCCAAGAGAATGAAGCATTGGTTAGTGAACAAGGATACATCGGAAAATTGGTGGTAAGGAAGAGCGGCAAGGTGGAATTGGATTGGGGCGGAACCAGTATGGCAGTAGGCCGCGGTGTTCCAGCTGCTTTTTTGAGTCAAATTGTTCTTGCTGAAGATCCTAAGGGCGAGGCACCAGAAGGTGTCGCTACTGGACTAGGAAAAGTGATGGGCAAATTCATCGTCACTCCTGATTGGGAGAAGATTTTCTGATAGAATAGACTCGGGAGAGGCGGGGAGGAGGAAGAAGGCTAGAAGCGAAAGTAAAGGATACTACGTAAGATGTTGAGGGACGATGATCTGGAAATTACTTGCATAGCAATGGCGTTGGGGCTTTTTAGAAGGGTGTAATTGGACATTCATCTTTCACGATGATTCTAGGTTTATACCAATGAATAATGACATATTACATATATCGGCACGCTCTTACCGAACCAGGACTCTCCATTGTGTGCTTTCTCACCCATTCCATTTTTGTTAAGGGTCCCACGATCCCCAGGTTTTGGTATTAAAAGAAAGTTTCTACTCGGGCCTCATTTCCTCGACCGAATGACCGAAGGCCGAAACCTTTTCATGCAAGATTTCCAATCTGCGTGAAATTTTTGCCGCGAACAGATTCCGAGACAGTATCTGGATCCAGGCAGTGGGATGAATTGGCCTAAATTGTGGGGATGCGGGGATTTCACCCCGCCAGCCCGCCATTTCGAGCGCGTCCACATCTCGTCCACTAGGCCACATACTCTCGTCAACCATATCGTCGTAGGTGCTATTGATTTTGTTTAGTTATGTCTCTATGTCTCTATGTGTATATATATTGTTATCTGATTTCTTGTTCTGTTTGATTTGATACCATTGCCTTTCCTGCTTTTGAACGTTCCTATCCTATATCACAAGAAGCATATTCTCTCAGAACTCGTCGCTGAATTTCCAATCATACTGCGGGGTAGACGTAATACGAGCTGAAGCACAACATTTTACTTCGTATCAAAATTCTGAAGCGTTAAGTGCCAGGTAGAACAGAGTCTACAGAAAATAAGATGCCCCTTCGCGTTTTGGTGGTTGGAGCCGGATTGGCCGGTCTAGCAGCGGCACTTTCCACAAAACTCGCGAATCCATTGCATGAAGTAACAATTTTGGAGACTGTATCAGAATTAGCGGAAGTCGGGGTAAGAGAAACATTTCAACTCCCTTATTTTCCATCTATACAGCCAGACTGATCAATGTTATAGGCAGGATTACAAATAACACCCAACGCATCTCGACTCTTCAAGAAATGGGGAATCTACGATGATCTCGCTCCCAAAGCTACATTCCCAAAAACTCTCTCGGTATGGCGATTTGATGGAACAAAACGCTTAGCTCATTCGCCAGATTTTCAAGAAAAGATAGATGAGAGATATGGAGCTCCTTTTTGGGGAATGCATCGAGTGGATCTACAACGTGCTCTGTGCGCTAAATGTGATGAGCTAGGCGTCACCATTCGTCTATCATCCAGAGTCAAGATTGTCGATTTTGAAAATACAATTGTTACATTAGAAGGGGGGAAAACGGTGGAAGGAGATGTTATACTCTGTACCGATGGCATTTACTCGGCTACGCGATCACAATTTCTAGGCCACGAATGTCCGCCAAATCCAACTGGAGATCTCGCATATAGAATTGTGATTGATAAATCTACATTAAGCGGACCGGATGCCGAGAAGCTTACTGCGTTTATTGATTCCCACTCTGTCAATTTCTGGGCTGGCTCGGGTACTCATGTAGTCTCATATACTATGCGTGGAGGCGATCTATTCAATATCGTTCTTCTCTGCCCCGACAATCTCCCACCCGGACTCTCGCGCACAGCAGGAGACTTGGAGGAGATGAAAGGACTTTTCGAGGGCTGGGATCCGATTCTTAGAGCATTTTTGGAACAGGTCAAAGAAGTCGCGAAGTGGAGATTGATGCATCTGGAAACATTGGAACGATGGACGAGCGAAAAGGGAAATTTCTGGATGGCGGGTGATGCT